AGCGTTTTCATACGTTAACAGATCAGATTGGTTGAAGAATTTACATCCCTTAAATTTAGACAGAAATGTTAAATAACCATCTATGAAATAACGCATACGGTGCAAATGCTTGAAGGCTTAGTGTTTGAGCATTGTACGGTTAAGTTCAATTAAACTTGCTAATTTGCTTAATGAGAAACCGATAATGTAAATATTATCACCGATCATCATCGGATTATTATGAATGTAAAAATTTGTGTATTATGTGTGCGAGTGTATGTTTATTACTCTTTCACGCTGAAACGGCTAGACGGATTTGAATGAACATAGCAGATAGACTATGACCTGTATCTTAACACATAAGCTACTGTATTATGCACCTGAACAAAACGACGCTAAATCGTTTAAACTAAACTAGCGACTCACCCTCGCCTCGCTCAGGTTCGTCCCTTGGTACGTTTTGACGCTCAGTATCGAATAGATATTTTTTCATTAATATTCAGATGTTTTATTAATAGCTTTTTTGCTATTCGGGGTGAAGAAAAATCCAACAAAACAAAGATCACAAAAATCGGTCCAGCAGTTCTCGATTTATAAGTGTTGTAACAAACCCGACTTTGTTTTATATATATGAGATAAGATAAAGATAATATAGGTAAGGGTAGATAGGTAAGATAGATTTTCTTTTTTTAAAAAATGGTTTAACATGTTACGTAAAATATTACATAATAAAATTTTATTATAGAAGACATTGAAAACCTGCCTCAAAGTACAAGATCTAATAACATAAATGTTGTTTACGGACAAGACACGGTGGTATTGAAAATATTTTTCTCTTCAATGTTAAAGGAAACGGTAAACTCAATTGACATCGTCTGATCCAGTTTGGTATGCAGACAGAACTTCTTGCGATAACACTTTTATTTTTATTTTAAATATTTTACTAAAAGACGAAGAGAAAAATTAAAATATCTTAATATTTAGTGAAACTTAGAAAACACATAAATTTTTGCAATCATTTCAAATTGGACTACTATTAGGTAAATATAAATTTGAAAATTTGTATGTATGGGTGTATGTAGGAGTATGTTAATTATTCCTTCACGCTGGAACGGACGAACGGATTTAGATATATGGATTGTTATAATATTTTTTCTTAGGGATGGTCCTGAGCGAAGAGAGAAAAGTCGCAAGTATTTTATAAATGTGTTTCTAATCTTATTCTAAAAAAGCGACTTAAGTATTGTCTAAATTAAAAGCCTTTGTCTTACTGCAGATCATAATCTATCTGTGGACTAAATTTCACCCAAATCCCTTAGTTACTTAAAAGAGAGATGGAATACTAAAATAAACGTACTTATAATACATATATATCTACTAATAATAATTATTATATACCTATGCAAAAGTTCATTATTTTAATAGTAAGAATTTGTAATTAATTAAATTATATTTGCTTACAAAGAAGTAGGAAGCATCTTTACAGCCGCACTTTTTGATCTCTCTAGTTCAATAGTAGATGATTATGTAATGTTTGTTTAAAATTGACACTTCCTCTATACGTACAAATTTAATAACTATACAATATTCATAAAAAATACGAACAAAAAGCACTTACTACTAGATATTTCAGTCTCAAAATTTAAAGTGGAATATTCCACTCGTGGCAGACTACGGACAATAGGACGAGGGTCTTATTGAAAAACTTTGTAGGTGGCGCTTTAATTAGTTTGCTGGGGAGACGAGATGAGGCACTGAAAACTCTCAAAGTAAAGGCACATGCATATACAACCTCATATTCATTATAATTATCTATATATATCAAAGGCTGACAGACTGAATGACTGACTGATGGGTCAACGCCCAACCTAAACCAGTGATCGTAGAAACGTGAAATTAAAGGGACGTATTTCTTAAATGATCTGATAAGAAACGATTTTTCGAAATTCATATCCTAAGGGGTTAAAATAGGAGATGAAAGAATGTAGGAAACGCTGCCATTCTTAATGAGAAATACACAGAAAGTGCAAATTGCAAAGAAGTGCAAGTATTTAATTGTTAAATTAGGTATTCTACATAAAAATTAAATAATTTACGTGTATCAATCAGATTATTCATAGATTGATAATATTTTAACCATTTCAGGGGCATAGGGTAAAAATATTATTGGGGTCAAGTTGACATAAAAATCGGTATTAACGAAGACGTTTAATTAAACATTTAATGACTTAAATAGACTGTTTTCAAAATGAAAATTGCTTTTGGCTAAATTAAGAAGTAATCGAGAGATTTCATTAGCTATGGCCTCATGTGGAAAATAGTATAGATATTTTTTTAAATTACTATATTTTCCTTATATAACTTAGATTTATGATTCAAGATATCTTGATTAGTATCTGTGTCAATTCGCACTTACTAAAACAGAAGTCTCTATCTAATAACATCATAGCGTAGCATGTAAAGCTTTGCGTAGCATTATTTGAAGTGCTACGTAGAGGTACTAAAGAGATTGTTAGATATTTTCATCCGAAAAATATAATACCTATAGAAGATGTTTTTATTATATGTGAAATCATCAGTCACAATTTTTATTTAAGAATTTTAATAGTCAGGATAATACTAAAATATATAAGTATGAAGTCACATCAAGCTGCCTTAGGAAAATAAAATACTCTTTGTAAAGATTTATAGTTATTTTGAAATGCGTTTCAAATAAAAATTAATTATTAATTTCACAAAATCTTGCCACCTATACACTACATATTTACATAAACTTTTACCCATCATACAAAAGGTTGATGCATACAAACATTACTTTTCTGACATTATTGTAAATGCTATATCTATTTGATTATTATTTTAATTGATTTTAAATATGTAAAGTTCAAAAATCACAGTTATTATTAGTTTATTTTTTACGTTTATCTGCAACTACTAGCCCAGACCACACTGATGGCTGTGCATCTATAAACACCCACGTGCGCTATAAAAATTATATGATAAAATCTGACCAGATATATAATTCTATAACAAAAAATGTTCAAGTAAGTCTAAAGAACGATTCGAACGGATAGACATTAGTTTTTACTGTTATGTACGAGTAACTAAGAGAGGCTTTTATTTAAAATATTCGACTCTACAGCAATATTTACCTACTCTCCAAATAAACTCGTAATCACAGCACAGTCTTACTTAAGATGACTTAAGATACACTATTAACTCGTATTGTGCAATCACTTATGGTTAATATGAAACTCATGAAAATAGGTCGTCGTCGTTTGGACAATAGTCTCTTGCACCTAGTACCGCTGGCTTCACCTCCGGATGTCGCTGTCTCCGTTCTCCGCCGCCATTTCCGTAGGGGGGAAGGGAGAGAGCTTCCGAGTAACTACAATGGGCCTTTTGTATTCCACCGCTAATCTGGGCTGATAATGTGATTAAAACTACCTTTGCGGTCTCGTGAGTTTGTGAGTTTTCTTTGGTTGTCTTATCTTGTCCATAAGGTATTCAAGTGCGCAACTTGTTTATATATAATAAAATGGATCTTGACATCTCTTAAACTGATGCTCCTATTGATCATTTTAACTATAATTAGAATTTATTACTCAATTTGTTTAATTTCGATTATAGATGGAGTCATACATTTTGTTTTTACTATTTTTAAGTTTGTTTATTTATTCTCTTTGGTTGAGACTTTTTGAATGCTAAACCATTTTTATGATATTTGCTAGCCTTTTATCTAGATTAGAAGTCTAGGACTCAATAATGCATACTGTGTGTTGCTTGTTATAGATGAAGGTTAGCTAATAGCTATGGTAGCTATTATCGGCTAAGGAAGAGTTTGAAGATGAAAAATGAAAAATTGTTTGTAAACACTAACTGTTAGGAAATTAATGAGACGTCTACGGGATGCTGGCGGTGCAAAAAAAAGAAAAACATAATAGTAATCACATTTTCAGCCCCACGGTTGAGGAAAATTGAGTTAACAGTCTTTACTCCGTACATTTAAGCGTTAGATTAAGCCATATATAACTGACTGTTAATGTAACTAATAATAGCATGTATATTTATTATTTGGCAATTATCTTGTTTAAAAATTAATCCTTAGTTCAAATTACCCACATGATTTACTTTATTACTAACGAGTTTTGAGCTCTACTTCGTTTTTATGCTATAAACTGTCAAAAATGTATATAATACCTACGAAAGAGACCCGATTGATTCATTATCACCTAGAGCTAGACCAACCCGCTAGACCTACGAGTAGTGAATAGTGGAAACATGGACTGCGAGTGCTCGTTTTTGTAATCGATAACTATTTTTTTACATTTAACTCCCAAAGAGGAATTAATTTATTTTAACACAATTTTATTAGTTCCATTTTTCAATTATGAAATTAAAATAATTTTCGGTATTATTCATAATTTACAAATCAATAACTTATAGATGACATTTAGTAAAAAATAAATATACTGTACAAAATAAAATCATAAAATTCATACCATATAATAATTTTAAAATCGTATAATATAAAAAAAATCAACGAAAGAAAAATATTTACTGCCATCTAGTGAAGTACACATTTACTATGAACTGCGCTACTTCATCTTTATATCCTACAATAATACGATGCCCTCTATCGTAATTGGAGTGAACTGTGCTACAGCCCTCACTATTATATTCTTTCTCCCTTCTAACGCTTCACAGCGTAAAGTGCTGCCGCCTTACAATATCACAAGAATTTTTTTACCGCAAATAATTTTAGTATGTAACTGAATAATAAATGACTTTGAGACTTGAAGCAGTAAAATTATTCTTTACTAAATTGAAATGATCAATATCGTAGAAAAAAGGTAAAAAAAGAGTACGAATCCATATAAAAATTTAATAAAAAATCATGTCAATCGTGAAAATCGAAAATCGTTCAGACATGAAAATATTAAAGAAATGGTAATAATTTTTTTTAATACAGCAATTATATTCATTAGATAATTTAGTTGTGAAATTGTTTTTTGTTATTATTTCTTCTTTTTATCTGCCTTTAATTTATAGACTAGTTGGGAATCGAGCATTTGCATGTAATCTAAGTACTTCTTTCCCCATGGTGAGTAAGATTCATACCACTTTTTGTACATATCATAATCTGCATCGTCCGTGTATACCACGCCTTCACACTCTAAAACAGCACTAATAATTTCTTCTGGGTCTAATGGCTTGTAATACAACTGAGCCACTCTTTTTGGGTCGAGCAACTTTTCTATAGCTTTTCTTATCGAGCTTATATCGTAACCTCTTAAGACTTGAGCTACGCAATGGACATTAAATTCGCGGCTTATACCGTGATACTTCATCAATGTTTTGGTTAATATGTACGATATACTTCCATAGTCCGATCTTGGCATAAGAATCAATGATGGAAATGCTTTGTACATTTGTGCATTTTTTGCTAACCATGGTTCCATAGCTGTTCCTAAAACTAATATTTTATCCTCACTAGCATTTATAGGTTTGATTATCTCTTTAAAAAAATCCTGTTGAAGTCGTTTAGGATCAAATATTTTTTCTTCCTTTGGTACTTTCTTGCAGAAAATCTTATCAGCATTGTCAACGAAAATTATGGTAGGTTGCATAAGCCTACTTATTCTATTGACGTATGTGAACATAGTTTTCAAATTTTTTGGCCCTGGATACTTATCATATACGTTCATTGGAGATAAATCAATAATAATGGAGTTTGTTTCTGTGGCAATTGCGTATATTAAAGATTTTTTACCAGAACCTTTAGGCCCTACTATTAACTGAGATCGGTTAGCATTAGGGCATGAGGAACCAAGTGTCAAAAGACAACGTAATCTTACTTGTTCTTTAACATCACCTATACATGGCGGTGGAAATGCCGGAGTCCATAAAATCGCACGACTGTCTGCTGCAGCGTAATTCTGATCTCCCCAGTATTCATTAAAAGTAATTGGTGGATATTTCTTTATTATACCTTCGTCTACTAAACTCTGAAACATAGTCGCAGGGGGTACCTTTTCTGGTTTAGGTGGCTTTACTTTCTTTGGTCTCTTTCTTTTTCTACTTTGCGGGGGTTTTAAAATGCCGGCTGCCTGGTAATCTATTTTTAATGAATTTTTAAGCATGTTTAATTCGATTCTCATCATTTCGTCTACAATAGGACGCAGTTCAAACTGAAGGTCTTGATATGCATTTTCAGTTATAAGCTTTAACATATAGCCTCTTGTGACATCTAAGGACGCATCTCTTGTATCTAAATCTTTCCATTGATTTTGATACTCTTCCCAAGCTTCACGTACTTGGTCAATATTATTACCGACTGTTATATAAACTCCAGGGTCATTATCAGGGTTAAGACGTGATTTTTTATAATCAAGTAAACGTTTTTCTTCTCTTAGTTTTGCTTCTAACTTTAGCCTTTTTTCTTCTTCGCGAGCTGCTAATTTCTCCGCCTTTATTTGTTCTTTTGATTTTTGGGCGCCTTCTGCTTTTAGTCTCTTTTCTTCTTCAGTTCGCCACTCTATATACTCTTCTATAGTAAATGTTTCACCTTTTACGATGAGTATAGATCCTCCTTCCTCAGGCCATGGATATTCATCAAATATTCTTACTTGATTGTACCAATCGCGAAGCCATTGCCTTATTTCATCAGATATGTCCTCTATCACGTCGCCTTCTCTCAGTCTAAATACTCGATTTTTTTCTTTAAGGTTCTCTTGAAGCCAATCTTCATAATATTTACGTCGGAAATTTCGACGTTCTTCTTGTATTTTTTCTAGTTGCACTTTAGCTGATTGTGGAGACCAAGATGGTATAATCATGTTTAGTTTCTCTTTTAACTTATTTTCTTTATTACGTTCTCGTTTAAGCTTCATAAATATCCTGTAAACTTTTTGAATAAATGCAGCTGCCCTGGTCCTAAGGTATTCACTTGCTGGTTTGGCTTTAAGACCAGCAAGTTCGAGATATAAGTCGTTGTCTTTGTTAAATATATGTGTTCTTTCCCATATTGTATATCTTGAACGTTCCATTCGTTGCATATTTAAGATATGGCCATTATATTCTTGCTGGAATCGTAATTCTTCCAAATCTTGAGGTGATAATTCTATGGATTCAGAAACGGATATTTCCTCACCTAAAGCCAATTTTCTTTTCACTTCAGCTTCTTTTTCCATGCGTATTTTCTCCTCTTCTTCTAATTGTAATTGTTCTTGCCGTTCTATCTCGGATGCTGTGGGAGTGGGATCTCCTATTCGATTACCAGCAAAAATTTGATCAATAATATATTGCATTTCCTCCTGCCTGATTTCAAATGAGTAATGAAAAGGACATAAAATTTGAATATCTTGAGGAACCATAAGCATTTGTTGTAGTGCATTTTCTGGATAAGTATACTCAAAAACCTCTATCTCTTCTAATGTCGCTTTTAACTCAAGAAGTCGACAAGTAACCGTATTTATTATCTTCTTTATAAAAGGTCTTCTTTGAATTTGTTCCATTTGGTCGTAACAATCGCACAATTTATTGTATATATCACAATATTTACAGTAAACCCTAGCTACAATTTCAACAGCGTTTCCTTGAGGCTTGATTCCTACAAATGCCGCAGCCAACTCTTGCAAGTTTTCATCTTCAGATATATTTTTCTGAATTTCTTGTTTAATTTTTATCCAGCGTTCATAATAACTTTGATTCGACATTATTGTAAGCGTTATTGTACTTATATATCATCACACTAATAATTTAATTTTCATTATTAATTTCCTATTATGTAACATGAAGCAAGTTTAAAATTATATATTTTAAATAGTGGTAAAATGAAAGAAAGACTTAATGTAATATGTCAAAATGAATTCTTCTAATCTGAATCGAAACAGCAAAAAGAGGTAATAGCCTTGTTTATCTATAATTATAATATACTAGCAGAACCCGCGGCTCCACTCGCGCTTAAATTAAAAAAAACTCTAAAATTGTAGGTTTCATACAAACTTTCATCCGCTATTTTACTCCCATATGTGATGAATTTCGAAAAATGCTAAAACACGTATTTAATTAATTGTATTGAAGAGCATTTATAACATGTTTGAAGTAATTCTGATATTAAATATTTTTATTTTAAGTTATTGAAATATTATACATATTTTAATTAAAATATAACCAATATGTTGTAGACATACGCCATTCACCTAATAATTGTATTATCATAAAACATATTCGCACCATATCTTTTCTCTTCAATTTACAAAAGGCGATCTTTCTTACTCTGAGATATTAAATAGCTATCTAGATTGTCAAAATCACCATCATCGTATCGCTTTGTATGAGGAATGTTACAGGCTTAGAGTCTAGAGATAGGTATAAATAAATTAGGTTTAAAATATTCATTGTGTTACTATTTCTCAATCTTTATAAATGAGTAAAATATAAAGGATATTGCATCAAATTACTAAAACTAAGTATACATATTCTAGACTCCCAAGCAATTTATTGTATATCTTCAAACCATGGGGGAGTAACAATACTGTGTGGCTCCCGGCGCTGGTTACAATAAAAATGTTACAAGTGCGCCTCCGTACGTTCCATTGAACATTAGAATCGGCGCACGCGCTCGTCTCTTGCTTCCGGTGAGTGACGCGTGCCACTTTTCCGCCTATGGTCCAATTTTATAAGATATAGCGAAATTTGAAAAAATAATTTTATTGGTACTTATTTTAGACAAATATAATAAAGAAAATATTCTATATTATATATTATTCAGTATTGGGCAATTAATGTCTATTATAATTTAAATGAATTACGAGAGTGAATAAAGAAATATAAAAGGTTATAATTATTATTACATTAAAGAAATTTGTTTTATTTGATATTACTTTTTACGAATTGTAAAAAAAACTATTTATTTCAGTGAATAAATGTCAGTCTTATTTGCCATTATCTTACCCATTACTATAAGAATATAGAAATAATTCTTTTATTCTTGACCTTGCTTATAACTCAAAGCAAAAGAATATAGTAAAATCGTTGGAAATGCAACGTAGCATTGATTTATTCCTATTCCTGCGATGTATTCATTTCGGGTGTAGAAATTTTAGCCATTAATTTTGTTAACTCTGTCTCGGGCAATAAAGTCGGCTTGGGGAGGGTTAAAGGGGATCAAAGCTATTAGTTTATAAGCTTGATATCTAGTAGGTTGTTGACCTGTTTTTGATAATATGTTTATTTTCCAAAATCTTTAAAATTTCTTTAAAAATACCATGATAATAATATATTAAGCGATAATGACATCGCTTATTACATTACATGTTTTTCTGTTAAATTTTCTATAGTATAAAAGCTAATGCCTTCATATAAATTGAACGAATACAAACAGAAGCAAAGGGTGAAAACAAACTAACATATCAAATGTCGTTCCGAATGTTCTCACGAGATAATCGTTATTGACTTCACCGTGGTTAATTAAGGCATGTGACAAATTAGTCATGGCTCCACCCATCCAGTTAGTGGCTTGTACCGGCGGAACGTACGGACAGGATGATTGACTGAACAATGTACTTGGATAATTCTACGATTGGCTACGATGGATTACTCATGTCCGATTTGTAGATTATAATAACATGTAATTTTAAATCTTGATAATAATTATATTCAAACAAATTCTTATTACATTATACTAGGTAATTTCTATGTCTGTATGAATGTCTATATCTTTTTCAATTAAGTAATAAGTTAAATTAATTTTATCATAATTTCAAAGTTTAAAAATAAATACATATAATTCAATAAATAATTGATTAAAATGCTGTAGTTTACCTTAGATCAACAATGTTTTTATTTAAAATTAATTAGAAAATGTTTGCGAAGGCATACACACACATACAAACATGATACTTTATTAAATACTGATGGCCAGTTTAAATAAATAGTATTTTAGCTATGATAGAGAAAAGAATAAAAATATTTTATTTTTTATATTTTCTTTTATTTATAGTTACACACACGTTAGTCACAAATAGAATTATTGATCGAAAAAATAATCAAAATGAGCAACAATTACTGAATTAAGTCAACCCTAAAATGATGGAGTGTAGATCCTTTGTGTTGCTATGAGAAAAAATCATCGTAATCTACGCCTGTCACCGCAAATTTGAAAGCTCTCTGAACGCACGCTCTCATTCGATGCGCACGGTGGTTACACTATCCATAAGACCCCTTATATGATACTCTAGTTTGTATTTACACATGATTGTTATCTCTGTCTTTTGATTTATATTGTACCTATTATGATAAAAGAATTTAAAAGTATAAAAGTTTTTGACTTTTTTATGTGGTTATTTGACATAAAACATTTAAAATAAAAATGTAGGTAGCTTGCTAATTTTATTATTAGTATTATAATACTAAAGAATCTCACTTGGTTTACCTCCAACTAAGAAAAGATTTGAAAAGCTCATCATATCAACTTAATTGTTGATACTTAGATAGTAACGCGTACAAAACTCAGTCAAATCGGTTAGAAATGTAGCTTAGAATATTACCTATAATAAGCAAATATTAATAATAAAATATTAATATAAAATAATCAAGATTAAGTTCATTTACTTGTATATTAAAGAACCAATTTACTAAATAAAAATACTAAGTAAGCTATCGAATAGAGAACACTCTACTTGTAGAGCTCTTAATTAACGGAGAATGTGTGACGGCGCGTGCCGCTATTTAGTTATGGATCGGGTCGTAGTGAACTTATTTTCAAAAAAAATACTATATATACCATTTTGTTAATAGTCATTCTATACACTGTTTAAGGACCTGTAAATAATTGATATCATATAGAAATAATTTTGTTTAATTTTTTAGGTACAGTATATTATATAATATAATTACAATATATTTCAATCTGTTTTATATAATACTAGTTGACTAACACATATCAAATTTTCATAAATTTGATTATAGATATCTGGACTTAATACCTAAATCTTATAAAGAAAAGTAGTAAATAAGAGTAATAAGTGTTGTTCAAATTGTCCCATTTTCTGGAGTTTTTTCTTTCTGAAGAAATTTCAATCGAGATTGTTTGATACCTATTTCTTTAGAGTAACATTATATTTATGTTGATAAGCCAAATGTTTATTTTTATCAACAATATGTAATCTCTAGAAACTGATACAGAACTGATATATGGCTACTGAATATTTATGTTATTGAAATGTATTTGTAAAATGCATCAGAATTCATATATGCGTGTAAGTCCCGATATGCAAATTATGCCACTCTATTAGCAACTACAGTGGCCAAGTCAATAACGGCATTAGGTAAAAGGGAAAAATGTATCTTTTAGGTCCAAAATCTGTAAGTTTTTCATAGAGATAACATGAACTATTTTAAGTGGGGAAAATTAAAGTAATTATTTTACTTTCTTTACTCAATTAGTCTATACTTCTGTTAAAATTCTTAATTATTTCAACTACTCATTTCTTATAAATAAGCTATTCGAGCATTATAAATTTTCAAAGATCAGCTGCATGTTCTACACCAAAGCAACATAATCTAACCGCACTACCAAGCGCGATGAGCGTCCCTTTGACGAAGCTCACTTAAACTTTTAATTGTCTAACCTCTCCTTTGAATTCATGCGTCGCTGATCTTCCCCGTCTCTAATTGTGGCAATTCGTTTTGCGTAATTTCATATTTTAGTGGTTAAAATATTTGATCATCTCGTTTTTGCCCACTCACGATTTTCAATTTTTAAACTAGGTTATAGCTGTATGATCTCAGTACGGTATCTACGCACCATTTCATAAGTTAAAGAACGTCTTCTCTTAAAAAAATTCGTAGTTTCGTACAATATCTAAGAATAGATCTACCGAAATTCCTAAACCTGCTTTAGACTGTACCGCTATGATCACTAAAATAAAAAAGTTCACACAAAAATGTATTAAAATATTTATATGTTCAATACAAATTCTGGAAAAACATATTATTGGTACCAAAAATGGTGTCACTATTTGGAAAATCAGATTCGGCGGGGTGTACAGGCATTAATAAGGGTGGTTGACGTCGCAGGCGAGATAACTAGAAGGGAGACTTTTTACATAGAGGATACACTGAACGTGTAACCGGTATAGATATATTTGAATGTATAGCACTGCTGATATATTATTCGTATCGTCGCTAAAGGATCGCAATCTGTAAATATAGAAGGGCGAATATATGCTACCAACGTATGAGCGATTGTAAAGTTTTGTTTATTTAAAGGATGGTTTTTCAATCATCAGATAAAACTTATTCATAGGACAAAACAACAAGATTATGTATTTACTACCCTGTTGAATGTTGGCATTGTCATTACCGGGGTCTCCTAAGCGTTCGGTAATCCACCGACCGAAGTTAAGAGATGCACTTTGCAGGCGGTGGATTGCCCCTGGTACTTCTCTGAGAGTAGAGTAGACTGTGGGAACAAACCTCTGGTTGGCTGATCTACCCTGGTAGGCCATCCGTTGGGCTGTCGTGGCTTTAGTGATCCTGGGATAAACCATTAAGACAGACAAGATTTCCTTGGGTTTTAGTGGGTAATATCTATTATACCCATATATATCAAAAATTTTCGAATTCAGTGCCCGCCGATACCAAACAAAGCACACCGACTTCGAAAATATTTGATTAGGTATGTAATATGTATAGTAAATGAAAACTACCAATCAGTTATTTTTTACTTTTTAGTGCTTTTTTTGGAGTCGATTTTTATTTTATTATTAAAGAGTTTTTATTTAGAGAGAAGCCGCGGGTTCTGCTAGTAAGTATATAAATATACGTTGCACGCTTAGTTATAATCAAGTTTGACGTCGAGAGCCTATACTCTATGACATCTGCGGAAAGAAGAAATTATAGTTAGGCGTTATATATATAAGAAGAGTATGTAAGAAAGATAATTTGTATTGTTTAATGTTACTTGTGAATTTATGTACAAAAAGTTTTTTGGTACCAATTATTAAGCAATTTTTTATTTTTTTTCCTAAAAGCTTTGTTCGTACAAGGATTAAAAAAAATTGCCAAATCGACACCGATCTCAAGTGATGCAATTACCAACAAACAACGATTTTGAATTTAAATACATATGTATCTACTAACAGAACCCGCGGGTTCGCTCGTGCTAATGCTACAAAGACAAAACTAAAAATGTAGGTTTTTTATAAACTTTCATCCCCTATTTTACCTTCTTATGCGATGAATTTCGAAAAATGCTTAAACTCGTATTTATTTAATTGTACTGAGGAACTTTAATACCAAGTTTCAAGTAATTATGATCATAAATATTTTTTTGGTTATATTGTAACGTATTTTCCCGTGGAATGAGATAATCTCCCGTGGTAAAAAGCAGCCTATGTCACTCTCCAGCTCTTCAACTATCTCTACACAAAAAAATAATGCCAATATGTCATACTGTTTTGACGTGAAAGAATGATAAACAAACAAACAAACACTCTTTCACATTTATAATATTGATATGGATATGGATATATTATATATATACAGAATGTGTATTCCTAATATAATGTATTAATATAATTTAGTAACTTCCGAAATTTAAGTAATATACCAATTATAATTTATGTTTTTTTTTCTTAGGCAATAACAACCAGTCCCTTAGCTACCACGCTAATATATGTATATAAATATATATAATATACTCCTGGTCACGGCGGCTAATCTCATTAAGACTAGCCAACTATGCAGGAAATATTATAGTGTACAAGTGTACGCGCAGACTCAAGTGCACTCTTTATTTCTGTCAATCTCATACTCCGGTGGCACGACTACTCGACGCGACCAGTGAGAGTTAAGGCGTAGGACCGACGGCTTTACGTGTTCTCAGAGGCACGGGGGTGAAACACCGCCAACTTCCCAACTCCGGACTGTTATTGAGGCTTACTATACAGAAAGGCTCAATAACTAAACTTGGCCCGACCCGTGACTCGAACCCAGGACCTCCGGGTGTGCAGCCGTACAAGCTAGCCACTATACTACCGAGGTAGTTAATATATATATATATATATATATATATATATATATATATATATATATATATATAGGCAGGGCATTTTTAATGAAATCCTTTTTTTCATCATAAACTAAACATTTAATTAAAAAACTAATGCATGATTATTAGTATCGTGTCGATCCTCCTTTATTATAAAACAACTATTTTATTCTAGCTTTTTATTTATTTATTTATTTATTGATCGGCTCTTGTTTGTAAATTAACCCATTCTTTAACTAAAATCATGTCTACTCCTTTTTATTCGAGGGTTTCACTGGCCTTTTCGCCACATTTATTTTGTAAAAGGTACCAAGCTTTCTTAATAGGACTCATATCATGTGATTGATTTGACCCTGGTGGAATTGTAAGACCTTTTTGAGAGTTCCAGACAGTCATTTTTTGAGCTCTATAACATGGTGCACCATCTTCCATGAGAATGTATTCTTTGCAATTCAAATTAATACGTTGAAAGATAGGAAGAAGGATCTTACTTTTAAATATTAGTATATTTCTCCGTATTAATTTTATCATCACAGAAAACCAGGCCACTTCTTCCACCATATCAACTAGCCACCCAAACCATAACACTTATTCCGGTCTTCTTTACAGGATGTTGCAAAAATCGGTTTTCTAACTACATTACTGCACGACGTCACATCCATTTTACTCCGTTGTTGCTAAGCTGAAAATATCCCGATTCGTCTGAAAAAATAACATGCCTCGAAAAGTTCATCATCCTTAGATATCATATCCTGTGACTAATCATATCTTCGCATTTTTGGAAATTTTGTCAACAAAAGTTTCTTTTTGGCTACTCTTTTATAAAAATCAATAATGTGTAAATACTTCTGAATAGTTTGACCCAACCTATTTAAAGATATAGCCACATCATCCACAGATTTTTCGGGATTTCGCAAGATTTTTTGAAGTACCGCACTCTTTTGCCTGGCAGACGGCAGATCTCCCTGATCTTGGCGAAATGCTTGTCTTTCTATCTCTTTTAAGTTGCATGATTTTCCAATTAACAATTGACAAAGGCACATTTAATCTAGCCCTGATTTAGAGCCCAGACTTACAACCTCCAAATTGGCCGACAATACACTCTCGAGTAAAATCGGTTAATTCTAACGTCCCAGATATACACGGTATTTTGAGTATAGTGTTAATAAATTAGGTTCAGACCCCATATACTTCAATATTTTTTTCAGAACCACCCGATTGCGTATTCTTAAAAAATGATATATTTATAGGTGTCTATTTACATTTGACACGGTAGTGTATATAGTCTGTCTCTATATCTGTAGTACTAATATTATGAAAAGTAAATATTTCTTTGTTTTTTTATTTGATTGCTTGTTACCGATAACGTCTGAAACTACTAATTCTTTACTGATAGATAGTTATAACCAACAATTTCTTTGTATGCATTCAGCCCTTTTTAATATTTCACTACTGGGCAAAAGCCTGTCTTAAATATAAGGGGGCTTATGCCATACTCTACCACGCTGACCAAGTGCGGTTGGTGGACATCACATGTCCTACAAAAACAATCTAGCAGAATAAAAAATCTAGCAGATTCTCTCAGGCACATGCAGGTTTCCTCATGATGTTTTTATTTCACGTTGCTTGGAATAGTTTTCCTTTGCGTGCGTTAATTGGTCTTTTAAAAAACTATTAAGACATATACAGTTTTTCAAATGTAAACAATGGATGGCAAATATAGCCCTTCAATCTTTCTACAAAAAATCTGCTTTTATATTTCAGCGTGTATACTTGCATTTACGAATATGTTTAAAAAATGCTTTACTTGTAATATTAATATGATTATTTGAATAACGTAGTATTAATTTTTATAGATATAAACGTAGAGATATAAACGTTGCCAATTTACAATATGTCACTTGGCTATATTATTTAGAAGAATTGCAAATATATGAAATACCGCTAAAACACACTTTGTTTTGTGGACGTTTAAACCAAAAGAATTAAATTTTCTGGAACCATTTGGTCTATCTACCTATACGAAGCTTTAGCCCATATATTATAACAAGTGCAATGGCACAAAGTGGCGATTATGTGTGCTAAGGCTATAATATTATAATACGTGGAAGTCATTTACAGACTCTAAGAAGTAAGGAATTAAAATTGTACACCACACAATTTTTAGTAAATAGAAGAATTTATATTTGTGCATCTTGGCATAGGAATCTAGAAGTAATGAGGTGGATAAATGTGACAATTCTTAAAAAACTGTATTATTTCTACAGGTGGTAATAACGAGTATCTTTGCCAAAAAATCTGTTACAATACAACTGAGGAACGAAGATATACTTTTTATTTATCGTAGACTTACCTGAACATTTCGATGCTCTCAGCGTATCCGACAGAGTGGAAGAAGACGAATAAGCTTTCGTTAATCCACTCGATATCTTCTCTGAACCTGAACAATAAACTAAATATAAATTACCAGTCATCATAATAAAAAACGTATCTAATTAAATATAAAAAAATCACGAATTTAATATAAATTAATAAAAAAAGTCCATTAACTCTTAAATTGGCATTCTCCCACGCGTATAAAAAATTGGCACATCATTTAGAATCGGAATCATTCTACGCAATATGTTTTTCAACTATTTATTTATTGTATAAATATGCTGAGGCACTCGGTGGGTCGAGCAGAACGCATAAATCTCTTGTGAGGGGAGCAGCGCATCATTACTGGTGTTTCTTTCGCACAATTAAGTGTTCATTGTCCCCGCTACGGTTCCCATGAAATGCCTGACATAACAAACGTTGCGCGCGCGCATTTCATCCACGCGCCATCTATTGTGCGCATACGAAACTAAAAATGATGTCACTCAATCTGACCTATTATCATCCTTGATTTATACTTCACGGGCGAATGGCCATTGATTGTGCAATAATTGTTTGTTTGTGCGATAATCTAGGGGATGCTTGTGAGAGTTTTCGTATGTGGATGACTTTATTGGCTTAGTGGTGTTAATACTTAATAAGCGGTTTTAAAGCTCCCCTATGTTTTAAAATATAATAGTTACTAACATGATATTTAATTTTAAATTGATACTTGACTTCAAGTGTATTCTACAAGTTTTTTTTATCAAATAACGTCAAAAAATACGTTTAAATAATATTGTGCTTACTACATCAATATGCGTCACTGTTTTATATCAATTTTGATAAATAGTTAGCTTATACTTACAAGCGTAGAGTAATTAATATGTATTAATTACCCGACTACAAGGGAAGGGTTATGTTTTTCGCGCCTATCTTTGTATATTTTATTTGTAATATTCTTTATTCTTTCATATCTTCCAGACCATTCGATGGATTTCTTGAATTAAGGTATCGTTAGATTCGTTTTATTAGTACAAGTGTTCTTAAAGATAAAAATAAACGTAGTTGACATAAAAATAAATAAATTTGGGGGCTGCTAGATTCCATAATATGAAAAAGAAAAACATAGGTATTTGAAAATCATTTTTAGGTTTCGTTCATCATCTTTCCTTTTAAATAACAGTTTAGGATATAGGTATAATGATTTAAAGTAGGTTAACAACCATTCTCGCTAATTTTCCTACTTAAAAATACTTTAAAAGCTGTAAATAAATATATTATAGAAATAAAAAACTCGACTACATAAAAGCTAACTAAAAAGATAAAAACAAGTTTACGATGAAATATAGTAACTGTACGTATATAATACTATATTCCATCGTGAACTTGTTTTCATCTTTTTAGTTAGCTTTTATACAGTCGAGGTTTTTATTTTTATCTAAATTACTGCTAAATCTTCAGCACAATAACAAAAAATCCCATCATATCTGTGTAATTTTATTTTAAATGTTAAATTAGGCAACACCTAGCGATGTAATGAAATATTAGCCTAATAATTGAATACATTTTAGAAATACCATGTAAGAAATAACCCGAACAAGCGTATCGGATACGTAAACGAGGTGTAGTTAGCTATCGCAACCAGGCGAGCCCCGTTCTCTAATGAATATAAATTACTAAACAACAGACCGACCCCAGCCCTTTCGTTACGCAATAAACATTAAAAAAATCAATATACGCGTATCAGGCCAGTTGCAACATGATTTATTGAAATATATTTTATCACGATAAAATCTAAAGTACGGCATCATAATTGATGACGATTGTACCAGATATAGTAGATATGCGACTGTAGGTCCGTTCGGAGTTTCAGTGGAGGGCGTTCCGTAATTATTTTCGTGTTAACAACTCTTTAGCTCGGCCCTTGGGGCTTTCTAATTTTAACATGTTGCTCTTAATAACGATAAGATTATTTTGAACTTAAAGGCGACGCGGGGCATGAATTTTTTAAATTAGTTATTTGAATATTATGCAAATTTATACAGTTGAGTATACTTTATTGTTTTGTTTCTTAACTATGATGAATCTAAACTAGTAAAAAGTATTTGTTCATTTATATGTAGATAATAATTTCCTAAAGTGATTCTAAAATATATTTTAGTAATAGAACCTGTACTTTGCTCTAGTAGTTTAGGATTTATTTGTCTATCGACGTACACGAGCGTGGCGGCGCGGCGGGCGGAAACCAGTGTTTTCATGAGTATAGCAAAGAAAATTCAATTTCATACGTATGTATTATTAAAATGTATTAAATAGACTCTATCACTGTATTGTAATTTATTTATTTTATAAAAAAATATATACATTTGTAATGATTTGGGCGCGATGGTACATAGACCAATTAAAGTCCTTTTATTTTTAAGAGATTTTTTTTAATTCACAACCTGAGGTTTTATGGGCTTATAATGTTAGCAGGACCAACTTTAAGGTTATTGTAAAAAGTGTTATTTATAAAAGTTGAATATTTTTACTAGACCTACAACTTTTGTAGAAAACATTTTTCGAAAGAACGTCACAGTAAGTCGGAAATTGAATAAAACTATTTTTGCACGCTTTGCGTCCCCCCGTTTCTCGGATAGGGGGCATTTTACGAATTTCTATTCCTTATATACCTACTAACATTATAAAATCATAAAACTTCAGGTTTTCAATATTTTGTTCCCAAACCGGATTCCGATTGGCTTAACATGCTGTTGCATTTTAAAGGTTAAAAAAATCGATTGGTTAAATAGTATGTATTGTATAATGTTATAAAATATTTAATGAGCGAATTCAGAACAGAATAATAAAGTTATTAATTAGCCTTTGCTGGTGGCTCTGATCATGACGAAATTAGTAGTTAATGCGACTGGAATAGTGTCCCTAAGGATAGTGGAGGTAATTCCCTCTAAATACAAATAAACAAATAGCTCTTTAATTATTATGTTTATATTTTATTATTTTATATTTCTTTATTCTAACGATGTTTATTGATTCATTATTTTGATAGGTCAAAATTGGATTGGTTTGTCTTCTTGTAAAAGGTTTTAAAATAGTTGTCTGGCGAACATATATAAAAATGGAGCATCAGAATTTACGTGAAGTTAAGTAATTATTTTGGGACTTTTAAAGCGTCTGCAAAGCAATACGGCCGACGGAAAGTGTCTGACAGTATGGACGACTTATTTTTAATGATATTGTCTAAAATATACGTGAAAATCAGCTTTTAGAATTTACGTGAGGTAAGTAATGTTTTTATGTACCTTGATTACCTGATAACTGGAAATAGGCCGTCTCACCAAGCTAACAGGTAGGCATGCGATCTTAGTACATACTAATACTACCCAATCGTCCACATTTAGTTCGTCAGAAAATACGTGACGTCTGGCGGCCCTGGGATCTTGCTCTATAAGTACGTTCTAATGGTTAGTATGGAATAGGTAGATGTACATAATATGTAAATTATATATATTATTTTTCTCCAACTTAAGCTGAGATACATTGTTACAATGAACAATGTTACTAGGTCAGTTAAATGACTTTAAAATCTATGACCGTGTAGCCTAAATGTTTAGAAATACACCTGTTTTTGTTTTGTTTAAATCAAGTAAGTAGTATAGAAGTTATGACAATTTTAGTTAAGTACCATGTGAAAAAAGTTTCACTCACAAATCTCAAGCCATGAAGGTTCTATGTCAATTCGAAGTACCTATTACATTAAAACAACAATTTCATACTTTTACATAACCCCTATTATATCATTATATACCAGGTACCTGCGTATCTGCGTATATTACTTGGCATATGAGTAAAAGAAACGATAGTTATATTTTTATACTGAAAACATTTAAAAATGGGCATAACACATAAACATGGAGAAATACAGAATACCGCAAAATAAAAAAGTATTTCGCAAAAAAATCTCATTTTTTTAGTTTTTTAACATCAACCTTAAAACAACGTTATTGTTTTCTTGCAACGAGCTCGTATTGTCTTCCAACTCTTTTATGGTCTCGCGACCTTTCTCATATTAACATAAAAGATTTTCCTTCTGTATATTTTTATTTCACTGCAAAATTTTGGTTGTGAAAAAAGTTTTAATTGATTTTTCAGATGGTAATACAAAGGTTTTTATCTAGTAAAGTATTTGCTTATACTCGTATATAAATAATTAATATATCAACCATAATTTTCGCTATTTAATCATATCGATAAGTTTTAATATTAATTTTTCAAACAAAATTACTTTTATATCTTAATAAAAGCAAATTTCGATGTTGGACCAGTGGACAAATCATTAGAGTATGAGTGAATAATTTCTAGTTAGCTGGCAAAAATCAGGCCATTATGAAATGCACCGATGGAAATCTGAATTTTTTTCTTACCATCACCTCCCTCGTTAAGCCCCGGGAAATGGTACAACGCACCCCCGGGTAAGTTTCGAAATAATGAACTCAATGGAGATAATAAAATTTTATTTTCGCTACTAGTATTTATAAGGCTACGATGATCCGGGGGCGAGTAGGCGGGAGTGTCGCCATGGCAACCGAAGGGAAAATCTCGCACGCCCCCACGCTCGCTTCCCAACGATTGTTATCTGTGCAAGAAAGTCCCCACCTTGCGTACCTACAGCCTCCGTGGCCTTAATCTGAAAGAGTTTAACCACCGCCCGTTGCAAATACAACCCTATATAGCGGTTCTAAGGTTACTTATAGCGCATTGCACAGTGATATATAATCGATTCAGTCTGTGTGATACGACACCAGCTATTTCTGTAGTCATTGAAATATCGTGATATGCCTCTGATTTAACCCATTTGCGTCGTTTAATAATATAAAGTATTTTTAAATAGGTATTCAAATTAATAATTTTAACAATTTCTAAGCTAGAAATGCATAATGAACACTTCGGTTTACGAAGGTTTTTGAAAAGAATATTAAAAAATTAATGTAATAAGCTAAAACAGAAAGTAACATTTTCAGCGATATAATTTGTAGGCCTCAAAAACGAAAGGCGCACGTCAAGAAGAAGATACCTAAAATATCTATACAGATAAATAAAATTGAAGTGTGTTTGTAATGTCAAAATAACAGCGTTTTACGAAATGCATATGAAATTATATTCGGTACTTATAAGATAAACACATTTTTTTAATTTTTGTCTGTCTGTCTGTTTATTCCAGATGATCTCTGAAACGGCTAGACTGATTTTGACGGGACTTTTACTGGAAGATAGCTGATATCATAGGAAGTAACATAGGCTATTTTTATTTTAGAAAAAGAATTAGGGTTCCGCTCAAAAAAATTTAAACGTACCTAGGGACGAACCCGAGCGAAGCCAGGGTGAATCGATAGTTCTTGTATAATTTTATTAAATTCATTAAATAAATTGTTCGTCCATCAAATAAATTGTTAAGATTATATATACAATACCACACCGACACTAAATAGCTAAGCTAATTTTAGGAAAACTTTCGCTAGCAGATATAGAATTTAGGTTAAAGGGACATAGGCTACTTTTTTCTCAGGAAAGGAAATAGGCTCGTGAGGATAAAATAAGGTTAGCGGGTTCGCTTTTCTATAATTTTACAGAGGACTTTTCACTAGTAACGAAATTCTTTTCCTGTTCCTGGGTAAATAGTATATGTACCTTCTTATTCAGGATTACAAAAAGATTCCTGGAGAATGTATGGGTAAAATTATTATGAGAGTCAATGGGAAGAAAATCTCATCAGTAGTTATAAAATAATAAAATGTAAAGGAAATAATAATTGACCGTCAATATAGGATTTAAAAAAGAAAATATAGCAAACTATGTTTCCAAATTTAAATCGGTCACTTTCGCTTATTGATTTCTTTTTTTTTTTTAACACACCACCATCTAGTTCTATGGTAAGCTACGATGCCTGTGTTATGGATACCAGATAGTTGATACACTACATATATATAAATTTAAATACATACATATTATAAATATAAATACCCATGACTGGAGTACAAACATTCGTGCTCATCACACAAATTAATGCCCCCAGCGGGACTCGAACCCGCGACCGCTGGCACAGCAAGCAGGGTTACTACAAAGTGAGTCAAACGTGTCGTCATTTTAAATTTCAATTATGCTAAAAATAGTTCAAAATTCAATGGCAATGAAACTTACCTAGTCCTTTGTTTTTATCTATAGAAGTTATCATAGAATCATCTGTTCTCGTTGCTCTGCCGAAACCTAGAGTTGAACTTGTCGTCTCTTGTCCTAATTGACCCCCATAAAAGTCACCGAACGCTGTTGCTGTGCCCAATAAACCTGATCTGTCTTGAAGAGCTGCCTTTGCCTTTTCTACACTTTGTTTCAATTGTTCGAATGTAGATTGGTGTAAGCGGTATGGCGGCCATTCTGTTGAAGGCCAAGGATCTTCTTTCAATGCACTTCTTTTGAGTTCAAGAGCTCCGCCGTAGGAGCAGCTACTTTCGTACATGGCAGCTTTGACTCCAGCACGAAGTGCGGTGGCACACTTTAGCCCTCTGATATCAACCCTAAAACAACAATTAGAAGTTCAGTACGGTAAATTAAAGAGGGAAAACAATAGAACAATTGTAAAAGAAAATATATAAACAATAGATTAATATCAAAACGATTATATTATAGATACCGCTATAGATTATTCGATATTCGTATTGTGGTAACCACCACATTTTTATCCTCATTTGTTGTTTCAATAATAAATCCATGGTTGCTGTGATTTAATCTATATACTTGTATATATAAAGTGCTTTGTCCTGAATAAGTGACTGATCGATATACGCACAGCCTAAACCACTGGTCGTAGAAACGTGAAATTTGGAGGACATATTCCTTATACGACGTAGGCATCCGATAACAAAGGATTTTTCAAAATTCATTCCCTAAGTGGGTAAAGTTGGAAATAAAATATTCTATGAAACTATGTAATTCATAATGTGAAATATACAGAAATTGGTATTTAGAGTTAGAATAGAAAATAAGAAATATATTTATAAGATTTTTTCAGAATTCATCTCTTAGAGGGGTAAAAGGGGTATTAAAGTTTACATGGGCAAAAAAATAATTATGATTAGAATGACTTGAAACTTGGTATTACTGTGCTCTTCAATACAATTAATTAAATACGTATTTTAGCATTTTTCGAAATTCATTCCATAAACAGGTAAAATGCGCGATAACAATTTGTATGAAATTCATTAATTGTTGCACGGAAAGTGATATTTACCTTTAAAATGAAAAATAAAACAATACAAATATATATTTTTTCGAAATTCATCCTTTAAAAGGGTAATAGAAGCCTGTGCTGTTTATATGAGGAAAAAAGTGTTTATGATCAAAATTACTTGTAACTTAGTATTAATGCTGTTAAATACAATTAAATAAACATGTATTTGAGATTTTTTTTAATTCAGCCCTTAAGTGGCTAAAACTGGGCGGTGAATTTGGAGTTTCTGAATATATTTAAACAAAGTAACATGGCTCAAGTTCTCCGTAAGTGCACACTTACTGTGTTAGATATTAAGTAGAGAACCGAAATTATTCCAAATCGAAAGAAAAATTATGTATAACTTCTCGGCTGGCCACAGCAGTGACAACTATAACAGACCTAGAGCGCGAGAGAGAGCACCTAGCTAGAGAGTATCCTGCTATCAATACCCCCTTTTTGAAGGTTGGCAGAACTGTAATAACAAGACACCTAAGCTATGTAACGGGATAAGACTGTGAGTAATTCATTAAACATCATAGTGGCTACTGTGTTTGCTAAATGAGCTCGGGGGAAACAGAATTTATACCTCGTATACCACTGATAACTTCTGACTACGCCTTTGAATTTAATCTATTGTAATTCATTCTTAAAGTGAATCTAGAATTTTATTCTAAAAATAATATTAAAAATTGCGATATGACAACATATAAATTCAATGGAAATTAAAACTAAGCATTTTCTTTGTCGACGCGAGGGTAGCCGTGGGCAAAAAGCTATAGCAAAATAAGAATGGCACTTTGTATATATAACTTAAAAAAGAAGAAGGAGGGAAAAATGTTCTCTACTTAATATCTCACACAGTAAGTGTGCACTTACGGAGAACTTGAGCCATGTTACTTTGTTTAAATATATTCAGAAACTCCAAATTCACCGCCCAGTTTTAGCCACTTAAGGGCTGAGTTAAAAAAAATCTCAAATACATGTTTATTTAATTATATTTATCTGACTGTAACTTCAGTTGTATCTAGATAACATTGAATCTTTAAAAAAACGTAGATGTAAGCCTGTTAATATGTTAGTTAAGAAGTCCGTATTAGCCAAGTTACATGATTCTAAAGTCGTAAGCATTGTATGCAATTACATATATCCATTATACGATGGAGTACAAACATGTGCAAAAAATGGAACTTGTGGAGTTTGCTAAATACCTAAAATGAAAATTTATTTACAGAATATACCTACGTTTAACATATTTTAAGATATGGATATTTTGAATTACGATCGCTGAAATCAAATTTGTTTTCCATATATCTTTAAGAACTAATAAAACTTACACGAACAATTTTAAATAAAACTATCTTTTCGGATTTTGTCGCGGATTTATTTGTATTTTTGTTTCCCGACGTTTTATGGTTATAAATATAATAATGGCAACACTAAATATAGATTGCTAATTAATATTTTTAAAATTGTAATAATTATAAAAATAATAGCAAAAAATTAAATAAATAATTTTCCATATTCAATTATAATTAAAATTATAAAAATATTTAAAGTTAAAATATTGTAATGTAATTGGTGCAATTTTCATTTTGTTAATTGTGGGTAGGCTGTCTGTAACAACTATATCTTTAAGACATGTAACACCTCAGTCTCTCCCGTGACCATGGATGCTGTAAAGCATTCGAAACGTCGGGAAACAAAAATACAAATAAATCCGCGACAAAATCCGAAAAGATAGTTTTATTTAAAATGTCAAATATTCGCGTAAATCTAAGAAAGTATTACACGAACAACTTATTTTTGTAAATAATGAAGTAGGTAGGTATTGCGAAAAAGTTTATTTTTTTCGTAGTTTGATCGCGGGCGAAGCCGCGGTTTCTTCTAGTCTATACATATAATGAAATTCTGAGTCGAATGCACAATAAATATTTTTTGAAAAATCTTATTAAAATAGTTATCATTATTTTGGTTAGTTTTAGTATGGTTGGTATATTTCGGTATGATGATAGCTTTTGCTGCGGAAAAATATCTCATCTCTGAGAAATCTATATTAACTGCTAAAACGTGAACCCGAGCATAATAATTAAGTCATAGTGAAGTACCACAAGGTATTTCTTTATGACATATATTATTATTGAGCTATTTTATGTACATTCAAATTGCGCTGAGCTCGTATCATAATGAAAAGCGATTTAGCGTAATTTGCCTTTTATCCTATTATTTTCTTATTAACTCTAAAAGCCCACCAGTTAGACGATGAATAATCATTACAAGGATACAATACAAGCATTAAGTGGCAATTTATTAAAGTACTGTATCCGAAAGTTTTAAATATAAAATTTAAAAAATATTTAAAACTTTTATTTCTACTAATATCTATATGAAAATTATGTTATATTGGAACTGAGATTATTGATCGAATTTTAATGAATATTACAAAGTAGTTTTGTTGTATTTACTTTGGATTTTATTTCGACTTGATTTAGACTCCGTCTGCAACTTGGTCTAAATTTCAGCAACGTCTTGTTTCTTTATTAATCGACTCGATCACTTTTTAACGTTTAGTAAAGATTTCTCAGAGATGGGATATTTTCCCGCAGTGAAAAGTATCCTATATGTTGTATTTTAATAAGATTTTCCTAAAAATATTTAATGTACAGATTTGGCTTAGTTACAATTTGATTATATGTACAGATATAATACAAATAGAGCTTCGTAAAATAATTATAATTTGTATCTATTCAGGTAAAACGCCACTTTAGAGAAAGGTTTGGGAATGAATGAATGTGTTAATGTCAATATCAGAAGATATATAATTTGACAATAATATCAGATGTACATGGTCTGTAAACATTATTATGTAAATTATACACATATTGCTCACAATACACAAAACCTCTAAGATATAATTTTAAATTTAACGTTTTACAACCGCATTTGTGCTATTTACGGCCAAAGTATGTGGGTGCTGTTTTGACTTTAAATACTCCTACCTCATATCGGATATCCTCTTTCGCTTAGGTCGCTTTTCGTCTTTCTTATTATTTTCCGTGGTGACGCTGTGCAGGTGGTATCACATTTCAGTGATACCACTTTGCGCTATAAATAAACCGTTTAGCTGTTGTTCAGACGAGTAAGGTACGCGGAAATTGTCCACTAAGTAAGAATGATCAATGTGTCAACATTAAACTAGAACATCCTTGCGACACTAACTTCCTGGATAACATCACTAAATAAGCTTTTCGACTATCACTGCTTAATTAAATATTGAACCGACACTCGGATGCATGGAGCATTTTGATTGATCTATGTCTTTAGTTTGGCTTTAGCTGTGGCTGAAAACAATACTCTTTCCGCTCCAGATTTTACCGTATCTTTTTAGTTATATATAGTGATGATATCGTGATGATGTCCTTCCGACGACTGTTTGTAACGCGCTTGCGCTGTGCGCCATAGCATTCAAATTGATTGCATCCGGCGTAAGGGAAATGTGTCGTATAACCAATTTATATTTGCTGCTTGATTTGACCACAGCATTGCGCTAACTTTCCAAGCTATATTACCTATATTTAAATAGGTATACAAAATTAATAAATAATATACACAATGTTTTCTCACATATATTTATTATTTAAAGCCTGTTATAAAGCTTCCATGTCTACTACTTAATTTACTCGACAGTTAAAATTTAATAAAAAAGATTTATAAAATATTACGAATTATAGATACTTCAAACGAATATATTTCAATTATTTTACTGTTATAATGATTAAATGATTCTAAGTTTTGGCTAACAATACTTTTTTGAGATATGTGCAAATGATCTAATTCATCATAAGTACTTATTAATCGTGGTTTTTATTTACTTCCTTCAAAAGAAAATATGTATTAAATTCGTCAAAGATAATGAAAGAAAGAAAACCTACAGGATGTTTGACCTAAAATACTATAAAACAAACGTTATAACATTATATAATTTTTATTTAGTTCACTCTGTAGACTGTAAATATTTAACCAAGCTACCATTCGAGTTGCGTGGGCGCTCGGCCACTTCGCCGCAGGAAGACTGTATTACCTTATTATATCCGACAGACCGTCATCCGTCTACCGGCCTTCACCTTACTCTTGACTCGAATCAATTTACATCTATGAATGGTTGATACGTCGACATACTTCTACGTGATAATTGATAAATTGAAGTGCACCTCTATTGAGTAATAAGTTGACTTGTGTATGGATTCATTTGCATTTCGATTGTGGGAAAAAATATTCTGCGAAAATTTTTCTTTTCTTTATTTTATTTTTTTATAATAAAAAGGGTAAACGAGCACACGATCTACCCAACGGTAAGTGGCTATTGTCGCTCATATACATCTGCTACATAAGAGGAGTTGTAGAGTTGAAGAGAGAGGATATTTAAGAGAAAACCTTAGGAGGAAGATCGTTCCATAATTTGCACGTGCAAGGGAGAAATGAATGTGATGTACGAACATTTTGGGATGCCAAGCATCTTTATAAGTCACAATTATTATTGATCATTCATAAATGCATTTTGAGCAGTAGTTATAGGTATAATATTATTCTTTATATTTTAGTCGATTTCCAAAAAGTTGCGGTATATTCACGGTATTGTATTATGGTAGGTTAACTGCCTCGGTGGTATAGTGGCTAGCATGTACGGCTGCACACTCGGAAGTCCTGGGCTCGAGTCCCGGGTCGAGCCAAGTTTAGTTATTGAGTCTTTCTGTATAGTAAGTCTCAGTAACAGCCCGGAGTTGGGAAGTTCGCGGTGTTTCACCCCGTGCCTCGGAGAGCACGTAAAACCATCGGTCCTGCGCGTTAACTCTCACTGGTCGTGTCGAGCAGTCGTCCCACCGGAGTATGAGAGTTACAGGAATAGAGAGTGCACTTGTGTCTGCGCCTACACATGTGCACTATAATATCTCCTGCGCAGTTGCCTAGTCTCAATGAGATTGGTCGCCGTAGCCGGAATCGGCTAGGAGTACATCATCATCATCATCATCATTATGGTAGGTCCCGAGATCGTATCATAAAATTTTCTTTGATATAGACCTATTTTCGAGAAAATCAGGAACACCTATAATATTTCAAGTATTTTAACAAATTTATTTACACTTTTTTACGTACTTCTACTCTTCTACTTCTTCGTATCGTCTAGAAACTTTACAGAGCGAAAACTTGAAAGAGTTTTTGATTCCGATGATATTATAGTAATTTTATATCTTGAAACAGATCTGATAGTGAGGCCAAAAGATAGTTAGTGGAACTCTTCAACGGCTCCTAGTAAATAGTTTGAATTTGGACTTATTAATTGGTTTCATTTGACAAACCCAATTTGTTAAAATTGGATTTTAAAGTCAGATTTTTAGTGTTACTAATAAAAGCGAGTTTTTCAATATGTGAGTATTTATATACAATTTGGCAGCACGCTAACATAAATGGTTAAATAGAATATGTTAATAAAGAACTTTCTTCTTACAAATTACGTGATTCTACACTAAAAATGTGAAAATAAAAACTTATAAAAAAAATATGTAAAAACCAACTTCCAGGCACCAAAAAGTAAAAAATAACTGAAGGGGTGAAAAATAAACCTATTCACTTCGGCTGATACGAAGGAAATTTATCAAACCAAGAAACTAATTAACATCACAATTATTATAAAAATTATAATCAAGTGTAAGTTATATAATAAAAACGAAAAAGTAAGTAAACTGAGCAAAGAAAAAGGTCGGTCACATATCACGTAAGCAATGGCGCGCGAAATCGTCTGGACTTGGGGTTGGAGCTTCTGAAAGCACACTTCATTGACTTCGGTAGACTATCATAAAAGTTCGTATAAAGTATTTTTTCTTAGTTGTTCTTATAAAAAAAAATTAAATATACTAATGAAATAATTTTGAAGTGGATATGTTTTAGCTTATTTTTGTAGTGGATTTTATAAGCACGCAATATTTTAGTTGTTTTATTCGTTTTATTTCTTTAGTATTGCTAGCTTTTATTCAAAAGAAGCGTCCAATAAAAACTTAAAAGAAAATAACCAACTACAGACAATAAAAAGTAAAAAAAATAACTGAGAGGGGGTTTTTATTTACTGTATACCTATCATAGATTAGGTTTTCGAAGTTAGTGTCAGCCGACAATGCTTTAAGATATTATTATATTAATAATAATTAATTATTATATTCTTAATAGATAAATATGACAAAGTATGAATTGTAACTATAGTTAAAAATGTATAATAACATCAATTTGTGGTGTATTTATATATTACGCTTATCCGCTATTATACCCCCTCATGGGATGAATTTCAAAAAATGCTTAAACACGTATTTAATCCATTGAATTGAAGAGCATTTATACCAAGTTTCAAGTAATTCTGATCATAAATATTTTTTTTATTATATTGTATTAGTAACGTGGGGGAAAAAAAATATTCTCCGTGTCTCCCGCGGTAAAAAGCTTATGTCACTCTCCAGCTAGCCCTCCAACAAAAAATCACGCCAATCCGCCAGACCGTTTCGACGTGAAAGAAAGACAAACAAACACACTTTCACATGTATAATATTAGTATGGATATCAAATAGATTTGCTTTTCATAGGCTTCTGACAATAGACGGAACCCATTGAATTTAGGAATAATATTCGAAAATATGCCTAAGTTTTAATCATCAATCAATCAATCAATTGTCTAAAAAAGTATTTCACAATAGGTAGCACAAAATCGGTGCAACTTTTAACTTGTGTATAATAATAAATTTCATATGCAAGGAAAAATAGGGGGTCTGTAAACTAGATTTCATCGAGATCGCGTAATCGATTTTGTTATGAAAAGTTTATTCCTTTTAATAAACATTTTGGTATTAAAAGCCTTTGGATAGAGATTTAATAGCAAGCAGCACAAAACAAAACCACGTATGAAGCTCTTTGTGGTGAATAACTAAGTATATCAATTTAATGCCAACAAAATACATCATAACACAGTAGGAACAACCACCGCTTCGTCCATTTGGCACACTACATACTACTAATGCATTCATCATCGCTTATTACATTTTAAATAACATATTTTATTAAAGAAATTTAATATAGGGAAACTATTATATTCTGCTTCACATTTCAGGATTATTAATAATCTCGATTTTTATTTAGCTTTAGTCTATATGGCCTTATGGTAGGGATCGACTATAATATATTCCATACTAACCAATAAAACGTATCCAAAGACGGACCCAAGCGAAGCAAAGGTAAGTCGCTAGTAAAATATAAACAAATTTAATATAAAAATACAATAATTTAGTGTACAAACAAAAAATGAATTATACCATCATAAAATATATTTAGTGCACTACCGTCCAAGAGATAACAGTGTCCCACGTTTAGTGAATGTGTAAATTCAAAATTGGGATGTACACTTTTATGAAATTTAGTTCTTATATCTTTGTAATAAGAATCATAAGTGTGTGACCTGGAGCTAGAATATATTGCAGTGATATCAGATTGTATTAACATAGAGGCATAAATTCAGTCGTACCTCAAGTCAGCGCTGAATTGTTGTTGAATAATATTCACATAAATCAGACGCGAATTAATTATTGTTGTTGTCGACTGTCTTACATAATTATGTAATGTTTGCGTGCATCATATCTTGTTTTCGCTTAATATATTTATACGAATTAAATTTCGTTTAGTCTAGTATAGAATTATGTGATCTGTGGTTTAGCTGTTGATTTCATTTTTATTTCATAACATTTGCTGGACAAGGAGTTGATAAAAATCCTTTTATTTGATTTTGATTTTACATATGTAATAACTTTAAGTGTAGCTGTATAGAATATAGTTTAAACTAAGTCGTTATATTCATAGAATAAGTATTAATCTTTGATAGACCCAATTAAACTTTTTCGCCTTTCTCTGCTAAAGTTTTAATCTAATACCTGTACAAAAACGTGCTCACAAGCATATTAACAAAGGAAATGCTAATTTACTACAAAACCTTTAAGATAAATACTTCTAAAAACGGTCACTACATATGTAGTTTGAGTAAAACTAGTAGTCCGGGCAAAATAGACATTTTCAATTCTGTCGTAATAGAAAATTTGATTTTTCAAAATTGACATTAAACCGAAAATTTTGACCTTTGACCTTGAATAACTTTAGTATTGATGGGGACTTTTGGCACTTTATTTCTACTGGTGTACCCAAGGTCTCTAGCAAAATTCAGCTCTGTCGGAGTTTTTGTTATTAGATCACTTTTTTATGTTTAATTTGACCGGACTATGTCTAGTTAACTAATTAAGTCATTCAAGTCAAGTCATCATAACATTAATTTAAATACGAATGCATATATGATATTTCTACAAATGTGTAGAAAGTTGGTAGCTTGCTTTAATGATATGGTTTCTTTTTTCCCAGGAAAGAAAAATCTTTTCATAAGATTTTAAACCAAAAAAAGAGTATAAACATATAAATACACCTAGGTAGGTAGGTACTTATGAAAAATATCTAATTATTCACACCCTTGGTAGATCTATAGGTATTATTATTAAAATGGCACATCCTGAAATATCATTAATTCAATGCCTCGTTGTGGCCAGAACTTAGAATTGATCACTTCATGATGTGGCTGATCATTTCATGAAATGTTTGTATTTCATGCAATAGAAAACCTGCTGCCCACATTATGATATATCTGGTCAGATCAATGAATGATATCTTAATAGAGAAAATTAGCATATAAAAAAATACTATAACAAAACAAAAATACTAAAATCGCGATTAAAGATCTAGCCACGACACCTACAACAATAACTTAACCAATAATTATCATTATTATTATAAAGCACAAATTTCGAAACAAGTTTTTTTTAAATAAAGGATTGCAATAAGATTGTAAAGTATAAAATAATTGTACAATGTGCATATTTTCTGAGGTTTTTAAATTGCTTTATGAAAGCCAACCGACTTTCATAAAACAATATGAATATATATATATATATATATATATTGGTAGGTAAATAAAACTATATTTTCGGATTTTTCGCAGACTTACAGCACTTAGCCATCTGTAACAACTATAAAATGAGCTTTAAGACGTCTACAACCTTAGTCTCTCTCGCGACCATGATTGCTGTGAAGCATTCGAATCGTCGGGACCAAAAATCAAAATAAATCCGCGAATAAATCCGAAATGATAGTTTTATTTAAAATGTCATATATTCGCGTAAATCTATCGTATTATTCCACTACTAGCTATACCTATATAAAGGTGAAAGGTCATTCACTCATTCACTAAACAAAAAATCTCGAATGCTAGTTGACTTTTGAAGTAAAAATTTGCGTAAGTGCTTTTAAGGCAGAAGACGCCAGCGGAAGTAATTTTGCGATGGAGACGAATTAAGAGAGTTTAAAGACTATTGTAAGTAAGTATGAATTTTTTGGTTCCTGCTACTAGATACATCACGATGAGTAACTCAGGCCGAGTGGTGGTTAGCGATTTTCTATATAGTTAAAATATTTTTCTACAACTTTGACATATTAAAAGTAAATAAAAACAAAACAGCCTTTTTTTCTCTATTAGGATTTTTCACGTAACAATCATGCTGTATATTTTGATTTTATTCGACATACTGATACCTAACTATGTTAAAATATCACTTTTATCAAAATTCAAAAATAATTAAAACTCTTATTTGAGGCATGGTTTTGATGATCATCATTATATAAAATATTTTGATGAACTCATTTGTAGAGATGTTCGTCGGAATTAAGATTAAATGTACCTACTAACAGTTTACAAATATAATTCGCATAATGCAAACAATATAATATTATAAATTTATTTTTTATAACTTATGAACACTAAGTATTCTACCTAATAATTATTTTTTAATTAAGCTACTTCCATAACATTGTCTTATATTGAGCAGATAACTTCGAGGGCAAGTAATCCAATAGACCACAGATGACTATGTTACAATGATAGCTTATTACTTTCATTCCTTGCAAACCGACGGAACTTAAGGCAATTTAATTAAATCTCAAATAAACAAAGCAATGCCGTTGTAAATAGGTATGAAAATCACTCCATAATTCTGAAGTACGAGCAAGTTCTTAAGCTTGCTCGTACTAGAAGAGTAAGATACAATAATGAACAGTTAGTCTATAAAAAGTCCTACTCCTTTATGACCTAAGACGTTGCTTCCGCGCCTTACCTTGAATTAGTTGCATCGCTCGACCGGGACCCCGTCCATGTCCTCGTTGCCGACCGGCGGCACGTCACGGCACACGGAAGAGACCAACTTGCACGCGCGGCAAAAAAATAAACAAATCGAAGTATCGGACGAACAAGCGGGCGTTCGTGGACAGGAAGCTAGGATAATAGCGAAGCCTCGTCCGGTGGTCGGAGACGACGGGGTGGGGTGGTTTAAAGCCACGCCCCAGGGCGGAGTCGGACGGCTGCGCGGGATTATCACCCCTTCGATGCGCTGACATTCTTACCAACAAAAGACCAGCCACAATGCCTCTGGTATTTTCGAGATAAGTCTCCGCTTCCTATCTTATTATTCTCGATATATTTTGATTGTGATAAACATAACTGCCTTAGATAAGTTTTTTATATTATGAATTTTAATGTGGAATTACTAAGTAGTTCCTTTTTTGGCAACGTATTGGAAAATTCTGAATAGGTATCTTTATTGTATTTTATATGTACATATTTCACATTATGTACAAAATCGAAACAATAAATTACACAGGGTACCCCAAACAATAAGTAAAAATAAATCGTGCATAGATAAATATTTTGGTTCACTTGATGTACAAAGAACGCGTTTAGTTATGAAAAAAAAGAATATAGGTTATCAGTCGCCACTAACCACTTACCTATTTACCTAGAAAATTATGTAAATTGAAACCAGTTTGCCAAGAAGAAATTAAAATTGATATCCCTATTATTAGATAACGTTGCATGTCTATATAATGATTAAATGTGCAAAAATTACGTTTTCTTGTAGTTATATGTATTTTTATTATGACACTAGCGACTTACCCTCGCTTCGCTCGGGTGCATCCCTGTGTACTCGGATTTTGTTCACAATTACATGGGTTCTAATTTTTGGGCGGAGCTCCGATTCTTTTTCTAAAATAAAAGTAGCCTAAGTTACTCCTTAAATCATCAGCTATCTGCCAGTGAAACTGCGGTCAAAATCGGTCCAGTCCTTTTGGAGATTAGCCGGTACAAACAGACAGACAGACAAGAATTTTAAAAATTGTTTATTTCTTATTAGTAGGTACCGTTTATAATTTCAAAGGCATTTAGTAAAATGTTGTTATTTTGACATTACAAACAGACATTTCAATTTTATTTATCTGTAAGGATGTAATAATTCTTAAATAAACCAATATTTTTAACAAGGTATATAAAAATTTAATATAACGTTTATGGCTAGGATAGATAAAAACTTCTTTACTACACACTTATTTCGAGGAATATCAACGAGAGCAAAACTTTAAGCCTATATGTACAAGCAGTTTTATAAACCTATAAAATGTTATACTTGTTCCAAATCTATTTCCAAGTTTATCGACTTACCTACTATACTTACGTAAAATCCATAAAACTTTTAACAGGTGTAGCTTTTTGATCAGTTCCCACATAATAAATTTCCTATTTTATAGGTAAATCAGAGTTGTAAAAACATGATGTATCTCTAGAGACATTAATATGTTTTTCTTTGTCATTAAAAGGAAAACGATGCCAACATGAACTGTATACATGTCCGATCAAGTTTAAATAACCTATATAATACGAGTAGGTTCGTCTCTTTCTATGTCACAAGCTGTCATTGCATTATGCATAGGTAATATGCTAAACTATCGTACAATATATTTCGTACAAAAATAAAATTAAGAATTTTGTATTTTTAGAAGTAGGTACGTATATTATATACGTTTAATATACGTATCTAATGTACTTCTTTCTATATTTGATAAAAAGGTTAAAATATTGTCGGCTATATCTACAAGCGAACATATTTTGCGTGTGAAACAAAACCGAATGAAAACTCGAAAATACGCGTTTTCCCAGACATAAAACTAATCTAGATCGATTTATCGCCCCCGAAACCTACTGTATACTTAATTTCATGAAAATCGTTTTAGCCGTTTTCGAGATTCAGATTATATTTATATATATATATATATATATATATATATATACACTATAATAAAATAGTAGAGGTCGAATGTCTGTACATAGCAAAAAAATGCTAAAAATCGAGTCAGGGGGATGTAAGAAGACAAATAGAACTAATCTAGATTTTTTTCAATTTTTTTGTTTCTCTGTCTGTTTGTCTGTTTGTACGGGCTAATCTCCGAATCCATTGGACCGATTTTAACGAAAATTTGCATGGTGGTACCTTATATCCCCGGGCAACATCTTAAATACTTTTTATACCGGAAAATTAAATAGTTCCCGTGGGATAGTTAAAAAACTATAATAACTTATACAACTTATGCACCTAATTTAGTAAAATTTAACATTCTGATACCTCATATTGCCGGTCAAACAACAGGTTACTTTTCATCCGGGAAAAATGTACGGTTTCCGTCGGAACAAATAGATCTCTATTAGTGTTTTTCTAAAGACGAACCCGAGCGAAGCGAGGGTGAGCCGCTAGTATATATATACATTCTCTCCCTTCCTTTAACTCTGTGCCTTGTGACAAAAATTCGCTACGACGGGTAAGGGATGTGAGGTGAGAACTACCGATGGCTTTGGGTGCTCTGCGTAGAATACAGTTGTAACTACGCCAACTTTTCAACTCCAACTTTCTATTGAGAATTTCTTTACAAAATAATTCAATAATTAGTCTTGGGCCGACTCAGGGTTATCTCATCCAGTCATTGACCATCGTCATGTTAACTACGGGTTAACAGTTCATAGTCTCTTCTTTCAAAAACAGTTAGGTTCACTCAGATATGCAGATGTCCTCACGATGTTTTCCTTCACCGTAAGGCAACTGGCAGTTATGTCGAACGTGATTCAAACATAAAAATATCTGAGCTTCGAAGTCGACGGCGTCGCGGGCGACACCGGATTAGAACACTTGAGTTTTCCATGCAGGCGTGTTATCTTTAGACTACCATTGATTCGGAAAGTACTCTACTCCATTCTAACTTAAATCATATTAAGGTAGTTTATATCATCGGTCGTTTAACAACTCAGTTATAGTTTACATTATAATTTGTCGAACATTAGTCTTGCTGATAATAGGTACATATGTATTTCTAGCCTTCGAAAATTAATATGTCAATAGGTCCACAGCCGTTTCCGTTGACGTTATTGTTGGTTCGAGCTGTACTCGTAAGTGGTTCCTTAGCCTCGGCTAGATTTTGTGTATTGAGGTAATACTGTAATTGTAATCATGCAAATAATTGACAACAGGTATGCCATACAATACAAGTATATATCCTTGTACTGTATGTATGGCTCAATCGCCATAAAATAATAATTGGGATGCGATGATTAAAATCATTGAGTCTTTTAGACATATAAAGGCGATTTCGAAATCACTCCAATTGGAATTCTAAATGAAGACCTGACGGAGCAACTAATTCTACAATCTCGCTTTCTGAAATGCTATTCCTTATTAAAATTCGTTGGTTTTCCTCCGATTTAGTTGTAAAAGCACGACCCTGTTGTCGCTGTGCTTGCTCATCGACAAACTTGATTAATAGGTATTAGAAGTGTTGGCGAGTAGGTATACCTAAAATTTATTGGTCCTTTGTTGTTTTTTGTTCTAAATGGTTGCTTTTTAAAAATATACAGTATCACTGCTTTTAGAATTAGGTAATGATTTTTTATTTAAGGCGTTTAATTTCTTACAATTATGTTTTAATTTATGTTTTTTAACCGGTGAAGTTATAGTTATATATAAGTTAAGAAGCTTAGAAGTTAAGGTAAGAAGTTATAGTTTATAACACATAGATACTTATGGTAAGTGAATACGATACATATGCACTTTCAAAAACTTATTCAGAAATGGCAACTAACAAACCTCGATTCGCTCTGATTCTTCCCTGGGTGTCTAACAGTAGCTAAAGTCTTAGTTCGAGTCATACTCTATCTATATACTAAAACTACATCCAAGTGCGTCCAGCTAGTAAATTGTGTAAAAATTTACTCAGATTTAAAAATTTGCGAACCTATTATAAACATATACCTATACATAGAAGTCTGATTGTATCTGTGTCAAAAATATCAGAAATATGCATAACTAGCGGCTCACCCTCGCTTCGCTCTCGTTCGATCGTTTTTAAATATAATGTTTTATGTACATGGTTTCTCTTTCGTTTTTAGATTTTAGGCGAATTAAGGTTTGTTCACTTAAAATTCTAGCGTTCGAATTATTTGTTAGGTCAAATTCGAAGGTAGGTACATATTAAAACAGACTAAACGAATAAAGCTTTTTTTTTGGTTTCCGCTGAGCTAATACATCACGGGGACCCTGCCGGCCTGCAATGCAGGGTACTGTGAGATTCCTTGTCACTTAAACTCACATCGGAACCTTATACAATGGGGTGTTGCAGAATCACTTGTGCAATCACACACTACAGCACTTCTACCCACGGCTTGAAAAAGACGGACTAAGTCACCTTCGGCAACAAGAACAATCTTCCTTCCATCCTTTCAAAGCTTCGGACTCTGCCTACAACGCAGACAAGCATTGAACAGCTCCCGAAGCCCCCAGTTACCTTTTTTTTAACGTTGGGAAATGCATTTACGCACGAGGTGTGGGACTCACCGGCGGCATAGTAAAACCTAACAAAACCTTCCCCCGTCTGAATGGGGCGTCGCAGGATCGCTTACGCATTCTACTACGACGCCCCGACGGCAGGTCTACCGAAGCAGACCACAACAATCGTGGGGTTGCTCCAAGGTCCACTCTGCTATCAGAGAAGTAGCAGGAGAAACCCGCATGGTACACCGTCCACCGAAGAGGGCCACCTCCCACCGCCCACCGAAGTGGACTTCCCTGTGCGTTTCTTGGCTTCGCGCCCGGCTGGATTGCCGGGCACTACTGAGCCCCACTGAGCCCCCCCCCGCACCACGACAAGGTAAATGCACGTTGGGGAGTGCCCCCAGTTATCTACTTAACCAGAAAGATGCACCGAATTCGCCTTGAGTACCGTCGTTCTTGCCCATGAGCTTGGAACTAATAAGCCCGAAACTAGACGTATATAATATCTTCTTAGAGAAGAGAAAAAGAAACAAGGGTAAATCTACACATATAATAAAACCCGCGGCTTCGCTTGTGCTAAAACTACAAAAAAAACTCTAAAAAGGTAGTTTTCATACAAACTTTCATGCCCTATTTTCCCCTCTTATGGGATGAATTTCAAAAAATGTTAAAATACGTATTTATTTAATTGTATTGAAGAGCCAAATTAATATCAAGTTTCAAGAAATTCTGATGATAAATAATTTTTTGGGTTGTATTATAACGTATTTTCTCGGAGGAATGAGATAATCTCCCGCGGTAAAAAGAAGCCTATGTTACTCTCCAGCCCTCCAACTATCTCCACACTAAAAATTATGCCAAATCCGTCACTCCGTTTCGACGTGAAAAAAGGACAAACATACAAACAAACACACTTTCACATTAAATAATACTTATTAGTATGGATTGTAACTAAGCCGAATCTGTACATTAAATGTTTTTTGGAAAATCTTTTTGAAATAAACATTATTATCGATACAGAGTTTTTAGATTTTTTGTCTGTCTGTCTGTTACTGCATCACAAGAAAACCACTGGACGATTTTCATGAAATTTGGTATGATGATTGCTGGTTATCCGGGTCAATATATAGGATACTTTTTTACTGCGGGAAAATATCGAATCACTGAGAAATTTATACTAAACGTTAAAATGTAAGTAGGGATGAACCCGAGCGGAGCAAGGCTGCGTCGCTAGTAATAATAATAAATATGTTGGGACATTATTAACACACAGCACCATATTAACACACATTTCCATGGTAAGCTACGAAACCTGTGTTATGGATACCAGAGAGTTGATACACTACATATATATAGAAGGCAGTGGTAGCCCAGTGGTAACGCGCTTGCTTGGGAAACTGAGTGAACCGGGTTCAAATCTCAGGTCTCGCACCTGTGATATTTTCGTGTGCAAATCATTTCTAACATGATTACCACTTGCCTTACGGTGAAGGAAAACATCGCGAGGAAACCTGCATGTTTAAAAGAACCTAGCAAGTTTTCGAAAGACACGTGAAGTCCGCCAAGCCCCACTTGGCCAGCGTGGTGGACTATGGCCTGATCCCCCTCGTATTGAAAGGAGGCCCGTGCCCAGCAGTGGGGCGTTAAAAAGGGCTGAATGCATACATACATACATACATATACAACTTTAAATACATACATATTATAAATATGAACACCTATGATTAGAGTACAAACATTCGTACTCATCACACAATTGAATGCTCTCAGCGGGACTCGAACCCGCGACCGCTGGCACAGCAAGTAATCACTACAAACTGTGCCAAACGTATCGTCAAATAATAGGTATAACGAAAATAATGAGCATAAAGATGATGATTGTGATAATTTAAAAATATATTTTAATAATTTTATAATCCTTAAATATCCATAGAATTGATTAATTATTAATTAAAAATGTTTTTAGAGGATGCTTAAATTCTTTAGCGGGTCAAGGTTAATATTTCTTGTGTAAATGGTGTAATAGAGTCAAAACTGTTTTTTTTTCTTAGTTATTATACGCCTAACGATGAAGACACAAAGTTACAGTCTTAAAATATCTGGAATTGACGTTTTCTGTTCTAATGTGACTGTAAATAGAAAAGAAATAAAACGAATTAAAGCTTATTATACGACAAGTCAGCAGTAAGACACCGTATCTATATAATGTACTTCATCTTAGACAACTTTTATGTTATAGGCAAAGAAATATATTTTTAGAAATTAACTAAAATCAAATAAATTTACTTTAAATAAAAGATATAATTCTACACTTAAAAATGTAGGTATACCACAAAAAATATCATGAAGAGTCATTACCAGTTAACTTTATGTCACTACATTCACAGCGAAGTCATAACTATTAAATAATAAAATCATTATCGCGTATACCATATATTGTAATAATGGATGAAAATCAGAAAGTCAGCTTATAATATGACTGTTGGTAAACGGACTTAGTAAAAGTACTATAATTTGAAAGTTGAAACCTTTCGCCATATATAATTTCGTCATTTTATCATACATGTCATAATATAAGTCGCTTCGCTCGCGTTCGCCTCTAGATAAACAAATCTATCCCACAGGAACCGTACATTTTTCCGGGATGAAAAGTAGCCTATTTGTTATTCTGATGTATGAAATGTATTATTCTAAAGTTTCATTAAAATCCAATCAGTAAGGTTTTGTGTACTGAGCTGTATACGTTACTATAGTTTTTTTTAACAATCCCACGGTAACTCTTTAATTTTTCGGGATGAAAAGTATCTTAAATGTTGACCGGGGATATAAGATACCACTATGCAAAATTTAATTTATACTGGTCCAACACTTTCGCTCATTAGCTCGTACAAACAGACAAACAGACAGAGAAACAAAAAAAATGGGAAAAAAACTGTTTTTTTTTTTAATACTATTCTAAATTAGTTCTTGACTACGTTCCACCTGATAATAAGTGGTAACGCAGTCGTAGATGGTTATATTTCTCTTCTTACATCTCACTGACTTGATTTTTAGCATGTTTTTTTATGTACAGCTTTTATGTTCGACCTCTACAGTTTTCAGTTTTATTTATAATATAGATATTAATTTGGAAATAAGGATTTTGGAGGTGGTGACATTATTAGACTTTTTATTCTGTGTATTATTAAGAAGAATATTAAAATATCGTATTATGTTTTGCGTTTAAATACAGGAAATCGATTATCGATTACTATCAGTGACCGCTAGTATCGATTGGGCAATGTGTAAAATGTAAACTGTAATAACAATATATGTTTAATGTAGCTGGCAGCACCGACAAAAGTCAGAACTTTATTTTGACATTTAGGTTTTCTTTAGGAGAGTACGTGTTATTTTTGTATTTGCCCACAGTTTCTTTAGTTTACTTTCGTTTTTATGAATTAAAAAGTACACTACGTGTCTTCCAAATTGTATTAACAGCAGGCGTTTTATTGGAGGTTACACATTTAAAGTAAATTAACTGGAATAATCATAATATACTAAGTAAACTTTAATTTTGTAATTTTAATTATTTATTCATAATAACAATGAATATACAAAAGCGGGAAATCCAATTTTTATTTTATGCTGCTTCAATATTTATATGTTATTTTATATTTGGTATGCTACAAGAAAAAATAACTAGGGGAAAGTATGGTGACAATGAACAATTTACGTGCTCTCTATCTCTTGTATTAGTCCAATGTGTAGTTAACTACATCTTTGCGCAAATATTGATGGTAAGTTGAAAAGTATAATAATTCCACATTTTAAAAAAATAGGTTATAGTTCATTGAAAATAATCTAGATTGGCAAATTATAATTAGTGTAATATTTTCAAAAGTATGTTCTGCAACTCATTTATATTTAAACAATGACAAAAAATTCTTTATTTATTATTACTTAAGTATTATATTATGTTTTATTGACTGACCCACCAGATGTTGTTCTGTCCAATTCAATAAATATGTATGTTATCTTTGAGATGAAATAAAAATCCAATAGAAAAAAGCACTCTCAGTTTTTCTAGAAGTTATCTAATTTACGGGCATCATTTCCAATTTCTTTCCCTCAAACAATTAAAAATATTTTTTTTAAATATAGCAAAATAATGCAGCCAATCTTATTAGATTATTTACATACCTAAAAAACAGCAACAAAAAAAGAATGAACTTACCCACAAACAACATTAATATTTATATTTATACATCTAACATTTAACATTAAAATTTAACAATAAAATTTAACAATATTTAATGCTACAACATTTCAGGTTTCATGGAAACATGAAAAAGATACCACACGTAAAATATACTACTTTTCATCAGCGATGACTTATTTATTGGCTATGGTGTGTTCATATGTGGCACTACAATGGATTAACTATCCAACACAGGTACAAAAACAATATTAAATTACAAATTTTATTTACGTTATAAAATTTATAAGCCTCTAATTAAAAATTAACTAGCCTCTTAACTTCCATTTTTACCCGACTATGGCAAAGTCCAAAGGAGGGTTATGTGTTTAACTTGTATGTATGTAAGTAGTATGACAGATCCTATGTTGCCTTGTAATTACTAAACAGCTTAACCAATTTTTATGATTGATATGTCATTCGGTTTGTCTTGATAACACAAGTGTCATAGGATATTTATTTATTTATTTATTTATTAGGAAGCCTACGTTATATACTAAGAATACATTTTTTAACTTATTATAGTTATACATAAGAAAGTGTTACAAAGTATATCACAATTACAGGCTAACTTAACATGTATAAAATAATTGTTAAACTAAGAAAAATGTTATTGTTGTTGCTCACTTATGTTACAAAAAAAATATAAGAAATGAAAAAACTCTAACATTTAAATAACAAAATATCCTTGTAAAAAAAAAAGTTTAAACAAAAATATAACTAAATTTTGATATTACATAAATCGTAAATACATAGATAGAAAACAATGTTTATACAAACCATGACCAAATCAAATAATAAAAAAAGAAATGGGGAAAAATATAAAACTAAGATAATAATTTACTATGTAAAAGGTATTAGGGGTTTTTTGATTGAGATAAGTTCCTAAAGTAGGTTTTCAGTTTAGCCTTATAGCAGTGTAAGGAGTCATAAAATATATCAAAGTCATTTTTTGGTAAGTTATTATAACATTTTCCAGCTCTACATAGTGGGGCATTTAAACCTAAATTCGTTCTCGAGAACTGACATTTAAAACTTTGAGCATTAGTTACTCTTGCATTTGGATATATAGATATTACTAAAAATTAAAATAGCAGATCCTAGGTGCTAATTTGTGTCTTGAAAAAAATGTTTATCTAAATAAATCGAGTGGGGTATCAAAATACTGACAAAATAATGTCTTACTGACTAAAACTAAAAAGCTGTAAATAAAACAATTATTTACAAAATTAAAAAAAACTAACTGTGTAAAAAGTGAACCAAAAAGGAAGACAACAAGTAGATGAAGGAATTATTATATTATGCAATTATAATTATATTATGCAGTCAGAGACATACATATGAACATGTTTTAGAATTGCTGCATGTGTGTATGTCTCCGACTGCGTAATACTATGTTCCTTCTTTTACTTGTTCTCTTTGTTTTAGTTCACTTTTTATTACCTCTAACCTCTAATATAAAAATTAAATATTTTCTTCAACATTATACTTAATTAACATTCTAATTATAATTAAAATTAATACTTATTGCTTCATAAACCAATGCTAATATTTATCAATATGTTCTTTCGATATTAATACCTAAAAAATAGCAACAAAAACAATTTATATAGATTTTTTTTTGTATTTTGTATTTTACAATTTTCCTCTCACTCTTTATTTACTATTTTTAGTAAAATGTGTTGCGATAGCTGCTGAATGAATATTAATGAGATAATTTTTTTAAATGAATGTTTTAAACATCAATAATTTTAAATTGCCAGTGGCTTTGATTGCACAATAAGCGGGGTGGGGATTAAATGTGTTAATCACCACAGTGCAGTATAACGCTTTTCAAAATTCATCAAAACAAGCTGAGCAGTTAAGCAGTTAAGTTAAAAAGGTAACAGACAGATATATAGTACATTGCTTAGCTATAATTTCTTTATAAACAATTTCCAGGTTGTTGGTAAAGCAGCAAAACCCATACCAGTTATGATTCTTGGAGTTCTAATTGGCAAAAAGTCATATCCATTGAAGAAATATCTATTTGTCTTCCTGATAGTTACTGGGGTTGTTCTATTTATGTATAAAGATCAAGGCAACAAATCAATTGAAGGTTCGTCAGGCTTCGGCATTGGCGAGCTCTTACTGATTTTATCTTTAACTATGGATGGCTTGACTGGGGCAGTACAGGTAAATTACACATTTAATTTTACAATTTTTCCAATATTTACTTATATTTTACAATATCATATGTTTTTTTATATGTATGGAAATCAGTTCACTTCAATTTTATTTATCTGTATAGATTACATATCTATAGAGATGAATAAAATTGAAGTGCCATTTTGTAATGTCAAAGTAAGAGCTTTTTATGAAATGCGTATGAAAGTATACACAATGAACAGTATTAAAAAGAAAAAAAAATATTTTTTTAAATTTTTGTCTATCTTGCTGTCTGTTTATTCCGGCTAATCTCCGAAACGGCTAAACCGATTTTGATAGGAATTTCACTGGCAGATAGCTGATGTTATAAGGAGTAAATTAGGTTACTTTTATTTTAGAAAAAGAATCAGTTCCGCACATAAATATTAAAACCCATGAAATTGTGAATAAAATACGCGCACCTAGGGACGCACCCGAGCGAAGCGAGAGTAACTCGCCAGTTTTATAAATTATGTACTTGTTCATTCATAATTTCAGAAACTACTGTTCAGATATAAATGTGTGTATGATGATATTTGAGAATAATTTCTTCAGTTAAAACCTACATGTGGATGGTCACGTGGGACTCTTCAATGTTCAATTGACTTCTAACAACACCTATGTTTGCCATCATTTCATTCATTTTGCAAAGTCCCATGGAGTTTTCAAAAGTATAATTCTTTAGTTATATGTAATTATAGTCAATTTATCTAGTACCTACTTTTTAATTTGTACCTATGTTAACACCTCCAGGTAAATTTCTAAGAAATATATTGTTAACTGTAAAGCCGGCGTGTCCGCGGTCGTTGAGGGATTAAAAAAATAATTCAACTGTCTGTCATAATACAATAATGCAATGCCTAACCTGAAAAGTCTTCTAAAACTGATATCATATTGAAGTCTAATCTATTAAATGATATATATTTAGCTAACAAGTAAAATATTTATTTCTAGGAGAGAATCAAAAGTGAATCATCCCCAACAGCCTATTCTATGATGCTCAATACAAATGCTTGGTAAGTCTTGTTGTCTCACTTCACAACGTCCCATACGATTGCAGAGGCCTACGAAGACAACTGTATGGATTGTATTCAGACCTTTTTTACGTCCCACTGCTGGATCAGGCCTCCCTTCAGTACGAGGGGGATCAGACCATGCCTGGCCATCCCTGCTCCCACTCGTATTGAAGGGGAATACAGCAATGGGGTTTTAAAACGGCTGAATTATATATTGCTATGATTTAGTAATTAAGTTATTTTATGTCTTGAGCTTGCGATTTTTAGCATTAAAAATAATGGTATAAGTCTGTTTTAAAGGTCTGCTTGCGCCTAAACATGTCATTGCGAATTATTTTACAATAGCAGCCGTCCTTTGCTCTTTTACATTATATCGTTCATCCTTGTTATATAATCAAGAAAGTATATATTATGAAAATCGATTTACAATTTGTGAAAATTTGAGAATTGAGTACTTACCTCAGGTTCATCCTCCCCATTTGAAGTTGGTCTAAATGTAGACTATTTCATTTCATACTACTAGTAGCTAATGCTACAATTTACCTTTTATTCGTAATTTAAGGACATAAAAGCAAGACAAAGAAACAAACATTAATAAAATAATAATATCAAATTAATTAATATACTAATACTATAAGCGTTACCTCGATGGTGTAATGGCTAGCATGTACGGCTGCACATCCGGAGGTCCTGGGTTCGAGTCCCGGTCAAGTTTAGTTCTGGAGACTTTTGGTTTAGAAAGTCTTAGTAGAGTCTGGAGTTGAAAAGTTGACGGTGTTTCACCACCGTGCCTCGGAGAGCACGTTAAGCCATCGGTACTGCGCCTCAACTCTAACCGCATGTGTCTAGTGTCGTCCCATCGGAGTATGAGAGTGACAGGAATAGAGAGTGCACTTGTGTCTGCGCGTAATATCTCCTGTGCAGTTGGTCTGTGGTCTTGTGTCATTGGTCTCAATGAGATTGGCTGCAGGGGCCGAAATCGGTCAGCAGAACATTCATCATTATCATCATTATTTGGCGACACGTTAAACTCAGCTTGTAGTGTACCTACTTGATGTGTCAGCTGTCGCGGGTTCGAGTCCCGGTGGGGGCCTTCATTTTTATTTATTTATTTATAAATACTTTATTGCACACACAAGTATAACACATAAAATATAAAGAAAAAGAAAGGTAACGAAAGGCTCGCAAAGGCTTGGCAAAGGCTTGAAAGGATTAATGAAACCGTAAGTAGAACGGCACGATTAATATTATATATATATATATATATATATATATATATATATATATATATATATAGCGATTTTGAACGGCGAATATTGCGAGGGAGCATGTTCCATAGCTTTACAGCTTTAACAGTAAATGAGTTTACCATAGTAATTTGAGATGCAAAGTGGTAAGTTCAGAAGGTTGTCGCTCTGAGATCTAAGTTGGGAGAGAACGTGCAAATTGCGCCGATGTCTTATTGAAAACCACTTTATTCGTATACGCTATTAGGAGATGTGGTTGAATTTACGCAAACCATATATAAATCTGATGCACATATTCTGCAGACGACAGACAGAATTTGTTAAGCTGTTCCTATGAAACATCAAGGTAACAGGAATCTGCATAGTGAGTCAATACAGTTTTGGTTTGGTCAGTGTTGATTAAGCAACTCATGGTAGCAAATATTTTTCTGCTAACCTTTGAAATTTGTAGAGTCCAGGAGAAGGTTTTGTCGAAATACAGTCCAAGATTTCTGATGGAGTTACTATATCCTAGGTCAGAATTGCCAAACCTAACAGGGGACAAGGTATTGAAGTCCATCTTGTTGGTCAATTGTTGGCTTAATGGCTTATAACGATGTCAAACGTCACATGAGTTATTTGTCCACTGGCTATGCGAAAAATGTTATATTCTTGTATATAAAAATATGAAAAATTGCGAAAGCTTGAGGTTATTATTGAGCATCTTGATATGATGAAATATCAGCCTTCTAGTTCTTATTGTGTAGTGTACGAATTTATTTTAAGTTTTGAATTATTCAACTTTTTGTTTACATTTTGGACTACTACTAGTGACCAATGACTGAATGAATGAAAACCTACAAAACTTCGACTGGTCAGAGTTGTCAGTTTTGAATTTTTGAGGTTGTCGTAGTTTTGTAGGGTTCCATTGTTTTCAAAATCATTGGTTTCAAAATCGTTGGCAATAGTTCGTAGTCTAAAATAAAAAAAAAAGTTGAATTGTTCTAAACTTGAAATAAATTCGTATATGTATCATAATATTTTCTGTGTAGATATAAGTCACATTTGCAGCGATTACCATAATTCGATGTGTATCCATTAAAGTTAAATGAAAGTAATAATTCTAAGAAAATTTATTGAAAACTCGCGACAGCTAGACAAAAACAAATTTATCCCAAAGGACCTGTACATTTTTCATCAAAAATCTATCCTGTGCCAAATTTCATCTTAATCCATTCAGCCGTGAAAGAGTAACTAACATCCATCCATCCATTCTCACAAACTTTCACATTTATAATATTACTATGGATTCTGCCCCTAATGGGATAAAAAGTTTGTATGAAAATATGCGGGCAAACGCTAGTTTCTCATGTGTTTTTCAATTTGCTACGATACTATAGCTACAACCTACTAATGTAAAAAAAAAACAACCTTGTTCCTCGCAGCTGGCGACAGATTTTTGAATATACTATAAGGCATTTTATTTGTAATAGTGATGTTATTATTTAAAATTTAATTATAACTAGTAATAATAAAAAAACATCTCTTATCTTCAGGTCTTCCATTATTATTTCTATTGGAGTTATAGCGAGTGGAGAAATTTTCAAATTCGTGGCCTTCGTAAATTTATATCCGGAAATATTGATTTACATAGTTGGACTCGCCTTGATGGGTGCCTTAGGACAGCTGTTCATATTTTATATGGTATGTTTTTTTTTTTTAATTTTAAGTTTAAATCGCATATATAAAACAAAATCTGGTTTTTTACAACACTTATAACTCGAGAACTGCTAGACTGATTTTTATGATATTTCTTTTGTTCGATTTGTCTTCAACCCGAATAACTATTAAAACATTGAAAAAAATTACGAAAAATATATTGAAAAAAAATTATTCCACAACGTATATACACAAATCTTAGCGAAGCGAGGGTGAGTCGCTTGTTGTCTATATATCGATCAGGGAATTACTAGAAATTATAATAGGTCCATGTCAGCAAAGACAAGTCAAATTTAATCTCTCGCTCATGTAGTATGTATTTAATTAATAAACTTCTGCAGATAAAGAATGGGATTAGAACTGTCACTCTTCACTCAAACCCGGTGGTACAGACAGAAAAATAATAATGACATTCATTATAATACTTAATTATAATACTTTGTTTTATTCGCTCGCTCGGGTTCGTCCTATGTGATTCCCCATACAAAATTTCATCCCTATTCTCACGCCCTTAAGGGATGATTTCTGGTTATGTCCTTCCCAGGGTCTCAAACTATCTACTTACCAAACTTCATTTAAATCGGTTCTGTAGTTTCGGAGCCTATTCAGTATAAACAAATAAAAAATCAAATGTTTCCTCTTTACAATATTAGTATAGATAGGGACATTCCTTATACGAGGCTTACGCTTACGTTTATTTTGGGAGAAATAGTTGTTAATGCACTGTTGTCTTTTAATATTAAAGTGGCATCGTTTCAAGGGATCGAACGTGGCGGTGTTTGAATCACTTAAAATTCAATTTTAATATATTTTTTAATTAATTCTAACATTTCCAAGCTTATGTGTTAATTATTAATAAATTAATTAAATAAAAAAATGCAAATGAAAGATAATGGCATCATTTTTTTCATTAAGTTATTATGATGTCTATGTGAAGCTTACTTATTTGAAATGTGGATAGATGTTTTAAATGCTGAGCTATTCATAAGTTTTCTTTTTATATATTACTCCCAAGAAATGTATTGAATATTTCTAAATTTTCAATAAGGCCGTCTAGAGCTTTAGTGGGTCAGCTATTAAAATACTAGTTTACTTAAAAATATCCATCTCATTACCTAGATGGCGCACACTAACGGAGTTAATGTGAAATATCTGCAATATTTCCTTAGCGCCATCTTCGATATTTTCAATAAATTAGTCGCCTCGTAGTTTGCGAGTAAATCGCTAGATGTCTTACTTCAAAATTAAATATTTCTATGAACCCTTGCTTCGCTTGGGTTCGTCCCTAGGTATTTATACGTAATAGACTTTATTGTCGATATATATAGACCAAATCTATAGTTTTTATTATTTTTGTTTGTCTGTCTGTTTCCGCATCACGGAAAAACAACTAGAGAGATTTTAATGAAAATTGGAGTGATGATATCTGGTTATACGGGTCAACATAAAGAATACTTTTTACTGCGATTAGATAAGATGATTTCTCAGAAGAAATCTATACTAAACGACGACGAACGCGAGCGGAGCGAGGGTTAGTCGCTAGTCTATACTAATATTATAAAGAGGTAAAGTTTGTGACTTTGTAGGGGGTAATCTCTGGATCTAAATCGTAATCATTTAAATAATATTATTACGCTCTATGTATATACAGGTGGCAGAATTCGGTCCACTCCCGTGCTCTGTAGTAACGACTACTAGGAAATTCTTCACAGTACTCGCATCCGTTGTAATATTTGGAAACGTATTACATTCAAGACAATGGATTGGTGCGATACTAGTGTTTTCTGGTATGTTTTTAATTTTCGAATTTAATTATAACTGATGGGTGAAACGATTATTTTAAGTTTTCATAGACGTGTGAGGTATCTCTGGAGAGGTCGTTGAAATTGAGATATATGACGTTTCTCTGTGACTTTTCTGTTCACGCCAATCATTGCTGAGTTATATGCGTCTAAATTTTTAAACATTGTGTTGAAGTTAGGGGTCATTCATTAACATTTGAAATATTGTTTGGTAAATTCAGAAAATTGAGACGATATAACTACCAAAATAGTTTTATAACGAAAATTATTTTGAATAAGATACGTGGTTACTTGATAAAAACTTAAAAAAAACGACTTCCAGGCAGTAAAATGTTAAAAATAACTAAACGGAGGTTTTCATCTACAATAGATACCTAATCAGATAATTTCGAAGTCGGTGCCAGCCGATGCAAAGCAAATCTAATATATTTCGATACGTAAAATACATATTTACCTATTAGATATTCATATTTTAAAATATCTGATTAGGTATCTATTCTAAATGAAAACCTCCGTTTAGTAATTTTTTTTCATTTTAGTGCCTGGAAGACGGTTTTTTTAATGTTTTTATTTTTCCATTTTTAGTGTAGGCGTAATAAGCAGGTAATTTGTAAGAAGAAAGTTTTTTAATAACATATTCGATCAAAACATTTATATAAGAAATATATTTATTGTTGATTTTTTTAAAACCGCTCGATCAATTTCGATAAAAAATTATATGGCACCACCTGGGAAGTATACCCTTTGAAACAAAAAAAAATCCAAATCGGTTCAGGCGTCTTCGAGTAATCGGTGATCATACACAAAAAAAAGATTTTGACGAATTGACAAAACCTCCTCCTTTTTGGAAGTTGGTTAAAAAATGGGGAATTGGGGGTAGGAGGATGAAAAATACTTTACATGTTCTCATACCAACCAAATATACAAAAACATCGTTAAAATCGGTCGAGCCGTTTCGGAGGAATGCGACCACAAACACCGTGATATGTTAGATTAATTTTCTAACTTATTTATGCCACTCTTAAAATGTGTATTATAAGTGGATAAATATTTTATTTTTAACGTAACGAATTAGTAGTATGGTATAAAAAAACCAAAACTTGGGCGATCCGGACTCGCGCTTGTTTTATTTTTTTGATAAGTCGTGTCTTGAGATTATTGATTGATGTTGAACTACATCAATTACGCGTCTCTGTTTCTTCTCCTTTTTTTTCTATTTCGTTGTTTTTTTTAAATGAAATATAAATATTATTAACTTTTTTTTGTTTTCAATATTTTCATCTAATTTTAAAAGCAAACACTATAATTTTCATTTTTTGGTTTAGTTTGTTTATTTAATTATATGTATTTGTTTGAATGCTGTGTACTGATATAATTGGACAATAAATTTAAAATGATAATTTAGCATATAACACGTAGTTGTAATTTGTTTTGATTTGTTTTCTGTTTCTGTACCTAAATTAATAAAAATAAAAAAAAATACGATGTATAAGATGGATTATTGTTTTTTTATACAATCTTTATATAGCATTATGTTTTGAAAAATAATAATAGCTATACAATTTATTAATAAATTTATTAATATTAATCTATTTAATGGATTTTTAGTCAATTAATATGCGAGGTCTAATTTTTATTTATTTTTTATTACAGGTTTGTTCCTAGATATCTTCTACAGTAAAGGGAAAGCCGTCAATAAGAAACCAGTGAACAAATAGCCAAAATAGGTGAATTATATTAAAAATATTTCTTAATTTTAATATTTATACATATAATATAATATATTTTTATATTTCAATATAAGTTACATTTATTAAAAGTGATGGCCTATTTTATATCCTACTTAAGCGGAAATATAATTGTAAGTTTCGAAAATATAGTAATATTAGCGCTAGACTTACCCCTGCTTCGGTCGGGTGCGTCCCCTAGGTACGTTCCAATTATTTTGAGTGGAACCCTAATTCTTTTTCTAAAATAAAAGTAGCCTAAGTTAATGCTTATAACATCAGCTGTCTTCTAGTGAAAGTTACGTCAAAATCTGTCCCGCCATTTCGGAGATAAACCGGTACAAACTGACAGACAGACAAAAAATGTAAAAATTGTGTTTTTCTTAGGCACAATGTGGAAAATATGCTAAAGTCCAATAACATCGGAAGATAAAAGACTCTGAATGTATTTTTATAAGAATCTTATACATATTTCCAAAAGTTTAAGAAGGTTAGATACACATCCCTGTACTTCTTCTATAATATTTAATTTAAATGATTGAGGTAATAAAAAAAAATCCTTTTAGTTCCTCTGTTTTTTTTTTCATTTTTAACAAAATTAGACTAAATTTAACAAAACTATTTTAAAATGGTGGCAAGATTTACTAAATTAAATTGAATATTTTTATTTTATTACAAAATCCACTACTTATGCCGAGTTCTTTTCGGTAGTTCTTTCAGAATTGTGGCATTTGCTTTCTAATTTCTGGTATACTTTTTTACAGACTAATAGTTGGTAGACAACTTTCCAATTCAGGATGTGTCATTATTTAATATTATTATCATTTTATTACATTTTAGTATGTGCTCAGAGGGTTTTAATTTTTTTTTATAAAGTAATTTATTGTAATCACTATGGACATTCTGTCATCTTCGATCTTATTCTTATTTCATATTATCTTCAATGTTATTTTACGTACTGTGGATACAGGAATGGATCACAGTAAGCTTTAACAATTTAAACGATTACCGTCTTATGAACTCTTATAATTTTTTCTTACTAGCAGAACCCGGGGCTTCGCTCGCGCTAAAACTAAAAAATCTCTATAAAAGTAGGTTCCATACAAACTTTCATTCCCTATGTTACCCCCTTATTGACTTTTGAAAAATGCTAAAACACGTATTCGTGTAATTCTGTTGAAAACCATTTATACTAAGTTTCAAACAATTCTGATCGTAAATATTTTTTGAGCTGTATTATGATTTGTTTTCCAGTGGGAATAAGAGAATCTCCCACGGTAAAAAGTAGCCGATTTAGTTCCGAGTGCCTTGTAGGCTATCGACAGTTAAATTATTTTGATTTATGACACTAAAAATATTTTTATCTATACTAATATTATAAAGAGGTAGAGTTTGTTCGTTTGTTTGTTTGAAAGCGCTAATCACAGGATCTACTAATCCGATTTGGAATTTTTTTTTGTATTAGATAGCCCGTTTATTGAAGAAGGCTATAGGCTATATATTATCCAGATAAAAGTACGGTTCCCGTGGGGTAGATTTGTTTTTGTCAAGGGACGAACACGAAGCTAAGTGAGGGTGAGTCGCTAGTCGTCATATAAATTAGCCTATAGCACTTGGCGGTGATGTAAGCTTCCTATCAGTGGAAGAATCAGTAGTTTCAAAGATTACGCGCCTGAGTACAAATTTACCTGTTTATAATATTTTTATGGATGACAACCAAATACTTAAATGGAGTATCTGTGGTATTCTCCGGTAAATGACACCATACTAAAATCTTTGAATCCGTAGATAATTTTTTTTTTAATAAAAAGCAGTCACGAGGACTGCCAACATAAATGAAAACTTAAAACTAAACAAGCTAATGCTATTTTTGGATATTCAAATTAATTGTCTGATTTTAAATGAAAATTTGTAATGGACTAAGATCCCGCTGAGAAAAAATACAAAGACTGTAATGTAAGAGTATACTAATAGGTAAAACCTAAGAATTTGGTTTTTGGTCATCAGAACGCGGGCGGAGCCGCGGGCAATGCTAGTTGTATATAAAAAAAATGATTTTGATTAAATACGCTATGAACGTAGCAATCTTGCAGCCGGAACTCGATCCATAAATTCAAACTGTTTACATTTATCTGGTTTTGACATCTATCGGCACTCTTGAGTGTTAGCGTTAACACGTGACGTGACCATGTCGATGACGACTTACATGAATTTACTCCCCACCCAAACCTGCCTATAGAAGATTTCACTTCAATAAAACATATGAAAATAAATGGTTATTATAATATAATTTTCAGACAAAATTGCTTGGCTTAAAAATTGAAATTCTGTTAGTAAACTTATTGATATCATCTAAGTACTTTTGTCGTCTTTTTTAAATGTATGTTCCGTGTATTCTTAATGTAACTTTTTTTATAAAAGCATTTTATAAAAATAGTATAATAATTAATAATATAAATAATATTGATGAGAAAATGTGAATGTCAGCTTTGAAACAAATAAATATATGTAATAAATATGTATATAAATTATTATTATTATTTTTAATTTTACAATATGTTTTTAATACTTTTCTTATAAAATAATGCTCTTTTTTAATTTTATTATATAGGGGTGAAAGTATGAAATTGCCGATTTGTACTGAAAAATTGAAATTAGTTTTTTTGTTAATTTAACATATTTACTTAATCAAAATAATTACCATTATTATCTATACATTGGTGCCATCTAATAGGAAGGTCATTTATGCCTTATCGATAGAACTTTGGTGATCTAGATACGACAAACTGTGTGAAAGCATTTTGTACTGCCTCCTGAAAAGAAAACTTTTTATCACGTAGAAAATTGTCCAAATCACGAAAAAAATGGTAGTCCGTTGGAGCAAGGTATGGCGAATACGGAGGGTGACGAATGGTTTCTAATTGCAGTTCCTGTAGAGTTAAAACGGTTTCTCGTGCTGTATGAGGTCTCCGTTATCATGAAGCAATAATGGTGAAGATCGATTCATGAGTCGGGGCTGTTTCACTGCTAGTTTTGCTATCATTGTTCGGAGTTCGGCACAGTAGACATCTGCCGTCATTGCTTGACCAGAAAAGAGAAAGCTATAGTGAATAACACCATGCTGGGGCCACCAAACAGTTACAATTACCTTTTTATTGGTAAGATTTGCTTTAGGATACTGTCGCGGTGTTTGACCTGGGGTCAGCCATTGCATTTTTTGCTTACGGTTATTGTAAATAATCAACTTTTCATCACATGTCACTTTTCATCAATTCGATCTAATATTCCTTCATTTCAGTATCGATTCAACAAGGCAACACAAGTTTCAACACGCGTTTCTTTCTGCAGATCAGTCAAATCATGAGGCACCCATTTTTCATATATTTTTTTATTGATTTGACGCAAATGAGTGAATATTGTTGGTAGGGTAACGTTAAACCATGCCGCTAATTCCTGCGTATTTTGGCTCGGATCGGCGTCCACCATCTCTTTTAATTCATTGTTATTCACCTTTGTGGGCCTTTGTCTTCCACGTAGTTCGTTCTTCAAATCAAAGTTTCCATCACGAAAGCGTTTAAACCAAAATCGCACGGCGCTTTCATTAGTAGTCCCCTCTCCAAACGCAACATTGATATTGCGAGCTGTTTCTGCCGCGTTAGTTCCGCGTCGGAACTCGTATTCAAAAATCACTCGAATTTTCGAAGTATCCATCTTTCTCGTCTAAGCTGAATAAAAAAAAAACAACTGAAAGTCGATAATCGAATGTTGCACATTTTTTAAAAGAAGAACTACATAGGTACCATGTGAATAAAATTTCACTCAAAAATCTCAAATCATGAAGGTTATACGTCAATTCGAAGTACCTATAAAACGGCAATTTCATTCTTTAACCCCTATTACTTAATCAATTCGTAATATACGTGCATGTCTAATTGTATTTAGTATACATATATGTATATTATTTTGGATTTTTCCAAATATTTTATTGAAGTATTTTGTTTAATACAAATCGCGATTTAAGTGGCAAAATTATGTTCTATGATATAAATATATCAATTTTATAAACCTTAGTGCTTATTTGTTCAAACCACCAATATTTGTATTTGTTGTACTTTACAGTATAGAGGTATTTTCGTCTATTTTAAAAACAACGCTTTATTTCTTAGAAGTATGTACATATTCTTTATTGCACATAAATAACAAAAATTACAAATATTAAGAGAAAATTGAAGGCAAAGTATACGTGTACATATATAGAAAAAATACACTTTTTCAGCTTTTTAAATTTATTTAATACTAATAGAATTGAAATTTAAAAGTCAATATTTCTGTATTAAAAATAAAAACTTTCGGTAAATTGGCCGTTTGGACAAATAAGCACTGAGACGACGATATGTAATAAAGTATAACTAGCATGCCTTATAGGTGGTATATTTTTACTTATATATTGTCGCCAACAATGTTTTTATATCACCATTTACTATATTATTACAAGTACTCAATATTATTAAGTATTCAATATTATGAAGGACTCAATATTATGAAGGACTCAATATTATTTACGAAAACCAAATACCTGCCAAAGTAATGCAATAGAATGTAAACGCGGACCCCATTAAATTAGGGTCATAAAAAAATAAACGTAAATATATACTTAATTACGATAATATTAGAAAAATAAAATTTGCGCATATAGTAATGACTTTCATTTCATGTTTTTTTTTAAATAAGTTTAAAAAAGATAGCTACTTAGTTTATGACAGTGGTAGCCCTACTGGTAACGCGCTCGCTTGGGAAACCGAGTGAAGCGAATTCAAATCCCGGGTCTCGCACCTCTGATATTTTAACATAATTTTTAACATGATTACCACTTACTTGTCTTAACGGTGAAGTAAAACATCGTGAGGAAACCTGCATGTCTGAGAGAATCTAGCAAGTTTTCAAAAGAAGTGTGAAGTGCCATAAGCGACTAGCTACTGTAATAGTAT